ATTCTTCAGTGAGTCTTGAAATTATATTCGTACGCAATGCAAAGATTACTATAATTTTTATAATTCATAAAGTAATTACTTTTAAGGTAATTGATGATATAAAATCTGTATATTTATGATATTTGTTTATTTTATATAAAAAAAAGACTTAAAAACATATATAACTCAAATTTTAATATTATTTTTTAACTTACTATTATAACAATGTATTTATATAGGTAGCTGGTACATGTCATATTGTTACTTATATTATTATACTTAATTCAATGAAATAATCTTACAGTATTATATTAATTAAATAATATATCATATACAGTTAATATTTTTTAATATGTTTATAAATAAGTTAATTTTTTTAATTTATATAATAATAAAAACAACCATATATGGAGGATGAAATAATATATATATATATATATATATATATGTGTGTGTGTGTATAGGTTCGTTAATTTATATCTTACAAATTTAGATAATATATACGTAACACATAACTACTTATAAATAGTTTTTACCCGTTATCCTAAATATTTTTTTCATTGCGATTTTCGTGAAATTTGTGAAACTACTTAAAATTAACAATCGAAAACATATCCTCGTAACATAAAACAAAAGTATATATACTCTGCTATGCAGTCATTTATATTGTTTGAAGGAAATCGATGGAGTGTGGCGATTTCTATTCACTGTGACACCACCAGGTACAGACAAACATAATATTCCGTCATTTTTCACATCAGTCAGTCACAGGTCATTTCTTGTACACGGGCTGTGTTAAAATTTTACCTAAAACATTTTTAAAGACCAACTGTTTTAAATAATGGACCGAGTCCACTATAGTATATAGCTGTATGCATTATGGTAAATAATTTGCAAAACTATTTATTATCCTGACGGCTAGTAAAATATTTGTACCCACTAAACCAAAACGAATATCACTAGACTTAATCAAACAATTTAAAACACTGGATGTTTTTTTTTTTCCAATGAAATCTAAATTACGCGAAACATTATTTCTGACGCGTACCAATAATTTACAATACCTAGTTAAATGTATTCAACTTATATAAGTATATGTTTACTATTTATATCTAGGTAAGTCAATTACAGAGTGTTACGATGTATTATTATAATTATATTATTAAAATATATTATATTTATTAGTGTATAAATCATTTATATATATATATCGGATATTATTGTACAATATAAATTTTAAATAAATGCTCTCATTCATGGATTCACTTATAGATTTGTAATACGCAATATATTATCATTATCGGTACATTTTTATAAATATGTAAAACTATATAATATATATATAGAAATTTAAATGTGTAATGTAATCATTTCACGGATATTCTCATTAAAAAAATAACTATTCCTAAGTAATTTTTTTGTAACAACGTATTTTTTCGTTTTTCATGGATATATTTGAATTTTTATGTACATATGAACGCAATTTGTCCTCAAATTAGATATTTCTTATGATGTAATATGTATAAAAATATAAAGAGAAAAAAAATCAACACTACGTGATGAATATAATACAAGGGTAACTTTGCAAGGTCGAACAATAAGACTATAAGTTTTTTTTTTTTACACATATCTGTCCCTCGACTTCTTGGGAGGTTCGATCAATTTGTCATCGCGGGAGTTTTTTTTTTTTTTTATTTAGATAAGACTAGCGAACCAAAGGTAGCGAATAAAAAGGAAGAAATTCAAAAGAAATACGTATTGCAGCAGGAGCACCACAGTGTTGAGAATCTCAGCGGGTGAGAAAAAATAGATTGTTAGTATGTGTATGTAAAAAAAAATTGCGAATTGCGTGTTTATAGCGAAAAAAAAACCTTACATTCGTCCGAAACATAAATCAAACTCGAATTAAAAGAGACGGAAAAACGAAAAAAAATGCGACCTATATATAAACACATATGTACAAATCCACTCGAGAAAAATCCAAAAACATCAGGGCTAGGTTCGCGCATTTTACCGTCGGGCGCGCGTACGACATATGCGCGCGCGTAGTGCCCGTGCGATATCTGTGGGCTGGTGCATACACTTTCTCAACGTAACATTATTATAAAGTAGTAAAGGGAACATAGGCTAATAATAATGGGCTATAACATTAGGCCATTATAGTTGGTATTATAATAGGCTACAAAGAGTAGAGAAAAAAAAAATGTTACGAGTTGTCGGGCTGTGTGGTATTGAGCTGCGCACTCGATGCGTGCACGGTCCGCTGAACATCTCAAAACCTTTTGTTTGGCTTCGTTTCCCGTGAAAGTCCTTACTTTCGATTCGTCACGTTACACCATTTTTTTTTTTTATCTAATTTTTATTTTATTTTTTTTATTTTATTTTATTTTTTTTTCTACTGCCAGATTTCATCTTGTAAATCTTTTTCTTATTTTTTTTACATTTTTCCCTCTTATTATTATTATTTACTACTATTTGATTATTTTCATACCACCTCCGCGCCGGCAGAAGCGTATAGGTACACTCATATACATATGATATTTACTATGGGTATATAGGTTATAACTCCGTACAAGGTACCATCTATGCATGTATACACCCGAGGTATAAACAAACGATAAAACTATGCACGTACATTATTGTTATTCTAACATTGGTAGGTCAAACCGAAGAAATATCGAATCTTATAACTCATATACTCGTAAGTAGATACTTATCGAAGATGACATGAAGTATTCTATGTGTAAACAACAGATTAAAACACGCATACACGTATGCAATGTATACGCTCGAAGTTTGTTAGCACTCATATAAATTCTCAACTTTGGTCTCGTCTTTCGAACGGCATTATACGCGCGCAATGTGCGATTACCGTTTCGGTGCAGTTCATGAGCATTTGTCACGCGTCGCATAGGTATATGCGTTGTCGAGTTTCAAATACATAACGAGTCTTTGGACATTTGGACATTTTCACAACGCTCATAACGTATTAGAGCACATATTCAATGCGCTACGAGTGCATATAATGCATACAGGCACATAGCTAAAGGAGGGCCTCAAGTCTTAGGCCAGACCGCCCAAAATATTCAGAGGGGCCCATTATGTGATGGCTTTTAATTTTTACCAAATTTTTAATATTGCCTAAATATGACGAAAATACAACCAAATACCTATATGGGGTTTTAATTGCAATCTAATATAAGTAATGTAACTTTTAACTAAATTCAATCCGTGTCTGTTTCTGGAATATACGTATGTACGTATTATGTTGCACTATTCAATTCTGTTGCTACCAAGAATAGGTGATAATTTATTTTTATAAGCCATACAGGGGCGGATACAGGGGGGGGACTAGGGCCCCCCAAGCCGGTATCATATTTATAAAAATAATGCATATTATTAACAAAAAATGCATATTATAATATGTACTATAATACGACACGCACAAGTATGTAGATAGAACCATAGAGGTATGACGGTTGAAAGGAGTTTCTCCACATTTCGGAGACTAAAAACCTGGCTTCGTTCAATGATGATTGAAGATTATTGTCTAATTAATGTATATCATAATGTAAATATTCTATATCAAATAGATCATATTATTAATATTTTTGCCAATTTTAAAAATAGACGACTTGAATTTGTGTTGTAAAAATTGTTGTTTTTTTTTTGTTATAAGATTTTGTAAAACTATAAATCCCCCCCCCCCCCTAACCAAGGCTCTGGAGACGCTCCTGAAGCCATTATATTATTAATGATCGATTAGGAAATAATTGCTATTTTTTTTATTTTTTTTATTGAGAAAAATTTAAATATATTTACAATCTGTATTTACATGTTACATAATTAGTAAATTTGATGACTTTGTTGGGTGGGAAAGGGAAGTCATCCAGTGTTGGCACGCAGAAAAATTTTAATTGCTGTTTAAAGCCAAATACCGGTACCATAATACAATATCACGTTATTCTTATCTTATTTAGATAGTGACTATTGTATACTTGTAAATATATTTTAAAAATACTTTTGAGCGAGTGTCATTATATTGATTCATATGGAAATATAGAATTATATTATATTATATTATATGTCGCCAATTAAACACTCAAATTTAGCACTCACCGTACTTTTGCTAACGTTATCTGCGTTAATATTTGTAAAGTTTATAGTATTTATACATTTTATTTTATATATTTAATATTTAAATGAATTTTAAAATGTCACCTCTTAGTGGATGTGCTAAAAGAAAACTAAAATTACTAAGAGAAGAGCATAGATAAAGTATCAGAGATAAGATATGGTATTATTAGGTTATATACTTATATATCTTTAGTAATGATAACTACCTTTTTATAATATAAAAACGTCGGGTTGGAGGACCTAACATTGGCCCACCAAGTGATTATTTTCTGACTACGTGCCTGCATGCATATCAAACAGACGAAGCAAACAGCGTAGGTAATTTGTGCTTTATCATTTTCGCTCTATTAATATGATATGTTAAATTAAATGTACTATGCCTCAGAGACCGTTGCCGTTAATTTTTACATTATTACGAAAAAAATATTGAATAAATAATAAAATTGGTAAATTTAGTTCCTACGATAAATTAATAGGATCGGAATAGTTTATGAAGAATATCGGTGTCTGTTTGCTGTCCGGATTAAGGGATTAACCTGCGACGAACGGATATCACTCGTATCGTTGCCGTTATTACGTGTTATTATTGGAAATAAAAAATAGTCGAACCCGATCCAACGGGCATACGCGTGTAGTATGGGAATAATAATATAATATAAATAGTAACAGCGACATAATAGTATCACACACCCGGACGGCAGCGGCGACGTTAGGCAGACGGTGAGGAGTGGGACGGTGGTCTGACGGAGGGGGCCGCGGACGAAGAGAAAACCCGCTCGGATCGACGGCGGTAGGAGTGGTGGGCCGCCATTGGTCGAGGGCCGCGCGAACAGCGGGCGAACGTTCCACGCCTCCGTGGGCACGAGCCGCACGCCCTGCGCGAGCGTGCCGACACACGGACTCCAGTCTTGTCCGGGACACCAATGCGGCGGCGTTTCGTGATCCGTGCATGTGCATACACGGTAACGGGATCCAACCTGATCGTCGCGCATCGTCGTCGTACGCGAGATCGCTCATACCGGTTTTTCGTTAAAACTTTTTCGCTCTCCGAGAGACCGCCGCCGACCCGATCGCATAATATATATCGCACGCGTATAGATCCATCGCACACGCGTGGCTTGAAAACATTTCAACCGTTACAACAGCAAGTGCGCGTATTTTTTTCGCGTTCGTCGAGTGCGCAACATCATCCCCGATGTACTAATGTTATAACGTGATATACCGCTGTCGTGGTTCGAATTTTTGTTTTTACATCCTATCGTTTGCAGTACAATTCTTGTCATTCCATAACAGTACAACCGTTCGTGAGTTTCGTTGTTTCGATGTTCGTCCGCTTTACGATCGTTTCGCGCACGGTCACGGAAAGATGACAGTTACCAACTTCGGCATGATGAGGCCCTGTTTTACCGGATACCCATTTCAAGGTAAGTCCCTGTTTACGGTACATATGTATATCATTCGTATTGATGACACCCCGTAATAGATATATCAACACGCGAAACGTCGACTAGTCAAGTGTCCACATACCGCGGTTAAAGAATATCTATAACCGTGGTACCTGCGTGTACGATAAAAACCGAATGCGCGCGCACGGTTCTAAATCGATTGACAAATTTTTTTCTCACACATTTTTCATTGCGATAGTCGGATCGCTTAACACGTCCATTCGAATAAACTTTAAAGGGGTACAAAGTTCTTTCCGCTCGCATGGTTTAACCAACGCGTGTACGAATAATACGTAGATTCATTCATCGATTTTTGTGACAACAAGACGACTTTCCCTTTTATTAAATCGCTAATATATTACGCTGTTCACGTACTATATTGAGCTTTACCGATATTATCCTTAATGTATTATACGCGACCTATTACGGCCCTTTACAACGGAGAACAATAATATCGTACCTATACAAGGGACCGTATATTCATTATTTTTTCACCGTCCTTACCTGTACATTTAAAACCCTTTTTTTCAATACCACCGCGCATAGTAATGTCGGTGATAATACTTGATCGGGAACGCGTTCTGTATTTATCGTTGTTGACGATCGCTAATATCGGGGCACCGGTATGGCCACGGGTCACATAGGGATATCGCTATGTAATCCGTGGCGTCTCATCCATGGTACCGTTTTCGCCCGTTGTATATACTTACCGCGCGTGCGTGTGCGTGTGTGCGTTTGTCCGTGTCCGCAGGCCAGGGCCGGGTGAACCAGTTAGGCGGCGTGTTCATCAACGGCCGGCCGTTGCCCAACCACATACGGCTGAAGATCGTCGAGATGGCCGCGGCCGGCGTGCGGCCGTGCGTCATATCCAGGCAGTTGCGCGTGTCGCACGGATGCGTGTCGAAAATACTTAACCGCTACCAGGAGACGGGCAGCATCAGACCGGGCGTGATCGGCGGCAGCAAGCCCAGGGTGGCCACGCCGGACGTGGAGCGACGCATAGAGGAGTACAAGACGGAGAACCCCGGCATTTTCAGCTGGGAAATACGCGACAGGTATAAAAATATGCACGCAATAATAAATAACGTAGAGATAACCTAACCCGTACGACTTCGCGTCGTTTACGCACCAACAACGTCTGCATGGCGGATGGGTTTCCGGCATTTTTCGAATGATTCGCGTGCACGAAATATGAATATAATGCTTATAAGTGCGTTTGTGACGGATAAAATGTTACGTACAGCGTGTTACGAGATAATGTCGTACTGCGTTTTGGTCGCATTGACCGTATGTGTAACGGTATTAGTGGCGCCGGAACAATTTTTGAACCGCGGGGGCTGAGCACAGCTACAAATACGGAGGAAGGTGAAGTCACAACGACTGTGTCCTCCTCTGTTGGTGACCAAATGATTCTTGAAATAAATTAGATTACATGTCTATTGTACAGTCGCGATAATGGATTTCTTACTCCGAAAACTATTTAGTTTTAGGCGTTGCGATCAAATATTAAATCGGTTTCCATTTTCTAAACAAGGGCTAATTGTCTCCATATTATCTTATTCTTGTATACGTACCTCGTGTGCTACATAAAATATTGACTACTATATACATAGTACGAGCAAGTTGTTTCTAAATAAAACTTTTAGTTCACTGTATGTGTATACTTAAAAATGGTTTGTTAAATATATTTGAGTTCTGTTTCTATATTCAACATAAAAATTAATGTGGAAGATAGCCTATGTATTTTAGTCACGGGAGCGTAAATTCTAGGAAAATTTCCATGGGGGCTATGCCCTTACCAAAATTTTTCCGTGTGAGCAGTTGCGCCCCCATTGCCCCCGTTATTCCGGCGCCCATGAACGGTATGCAGTATACTCATATTACCATGACCCGGGTATCTTGCTATTGTTTTTAAAATGTACACCTCCAAATGTTTACGTAAACACTGCGCGAAACGTACGTACGTATACAGCTGTGCAAGTATAGAGAACAGTGCGCGTGTCTTTTTACACGATCTCTGTGCTGAATATAATTACGATCGAAATTCGCAAGTTTAAAACACGCTTCATTGCGTATTAACTATAATCGAAACAATTATTTCGCCATCTGATACACCCAATAATAATGTTAGTTTTATTCGGTGTATAATAAATTGTCATTCGTAAAAGTATAATTGAATAAAGACTCGCTATGTTATTACGTTCATGTTTTCTTTAAAATTGCATAATTTATATTAAAATTTACATATAGTTTCCGTAAACAGTTAATATTAAAATAATTAAAATTTAAGCAATTTGTCTGTTTTCCATGTAAAAATTAAATTATGACAGCTCCTGTAAAATTAATAGCACTCTATAAATTTACAACTTAACGTTCACGAATCACGATATCATATAAGAGCACTATAATAATCATAGGATCCAACATTTTATTTACTTAAAGACACACTACATAATACTTTAATTAAATATTATTATAATATAATATTATATATTTCATCCATTATTTATTTATTTTGTTTAATATACATATGGAAATACATAGATTTATAATTATACTTAACACGTTTTAGACCTATTAAAAAGTTTAACCAAGAGTTCAACTAGACATTTTTAACATCCGTTCAAAGTAATCGACTCCCAAATGTGTTTATTTTTGAATAATATGTCTTCCTCACACCAGTATTTTTGTCGATGGAGTTATACTCGTAACTGTTGACTGCTTAAATATATTTGGCACACTCTTATTTTTTCTACATAATTTATCATTAACCGACCGGCTAGACCACTGAATGTTATTAGTATTTCAGTACTTACAACGAATTCTGACTAAAATATGCATATGTATAAAGCCCACGAATTTTAAATATAATATGTAGAGTACTGATGTTAACAAAAGTAAAAAATCAGCAGCCTGTAGAACTTTAATGTATACCTAATGAGCTATATAGAAATTAAATATAATTTAGTATAACTCCAAAACTTTGAATGCATGCAACATATTACCTATAATATTATTAAATAAATGCATTGTCAATAATTTATAAAACTTAACAGCTACAACTATCATATTCAATTAAAGTCATATTATAAATAATAAACATCAAAATACTTAAATGTTTAATATTTTACTACTACACTCGGATTATTATAATCTATAGTTACAATCTGTAGTTCACTACTATATGATGGGTTTTAAGTAATTTTAAACGATTAATAAATCGAAAAAAATGTATTAAAATTAATATATTTGTGTGAGTCAAATATTTTCTTTATCTCATATAACATGTTAGTTATAAAAATATAATAAAAATGGGTATGTTCATAATATTATATTAATTTAACTCCATTATCATTATAATTACATAAATATACTTATAAAATAAAGTATTAGGTACCTAATCAATTTAAACGTAATTTAAATTTTTAATAATACAATATTGTAATTGGTGTAAATATATATATATATAGTATAAACATATATAATATTGATAAATTTAAAAAAAATGTGTAGATTTGAAACTAAAAATTCAAGATTTTTTTTAATGTTAGTGTTTTTTATGTCGAAATAGTTTTAATAATGCTTGTTTCTATAATTGTTTAAAAAAGTGTTTTCGTCTACGGATGTTTACATTTTTATGTACACATACTATAATTTATTTTGAAAATCCATAGTTATTATATTAATAACATTTATAATAACAATTTTTGTTCTTACTGTAAAATAATTAAAATTTAAACCTGATATTGCTCACACAAAAGAGTTATTTCCCGTTTATCACAAATAAATAAATATCACCGTACAATTAAAGTCAGTCTATACATTGCTCAAGTCCACCTTCAATAACAATGATAATAAATATCAATAGGTTAATATACATAAATTAATGTGTATATAATATAATAATAATTATATGTATTATATTTATATAAATACACAATATATTTAATTTAAACTGCAACTCGGTCTTAACATATTTTTTTTACAAATAATACGCCGTATACAATTTTTGTTTGAAATGTATACGTAATGATGATTGGAGTGTAACAAATAAAATATACAGTTAATAATAACACCAAAATGTATACAAATGTTAATGTCCTTCGGATGCATTTCCTCCAATAAATAATTTTCAATTCGCATTATGTGTTTTTAGTTTAATTTGTGTTATTAAGTTTTAAAGTGATTTCTTTATTGTGTTTCAAATTGAAAGCTCTAAGAATGATCCCATTTTTGTTTCAGAAATGACAATGAGCCCGCCCAATATCACGATAATAAAAGGTTAGTGTTTATGTTTTTCTTTAAATTTCAAACGGAACTCTTTTTCTTAGAAGATAATAAAACTATACGTACACGGGGAATGATTTAAGTTTATTATTAGTTTTAAAATATGTTTATATATGAAAAGGGACGCGTGCTCAGTGGTTTTTTTTCCCAGCAACAAGACATAAAATCCACATATTATGTACTTAATACAGTCATCAGTTGTCAGTGTGATTTTTTTTTCTTTCTCGGGTCGAGACTTTTTACCCTTGTTGCACCCTTTAAATGTCTTCTTTCAGCTCACTGAAGGGTATTTAAATTTATTGACTCAAAACTGGCTTGCTTACATATTATATATAAAATTGGTACAGCTATACAATATAATGTACATACTGTACGTGTATTTTGTGTATGGAGCCATAAATAACGGTTCCAGAATATGACCTTTGGGTCCTTTTTTTTTTTTTTTTTGTCACTATTCATCTTCGATTTTTTCTCTCCGTTGCATTGTTAGGTAGTCCAGTATGTGTACTGTTCGACCATTTCATGCGTGTTAAAACGTCGTACAACAATAAAATGCCGTAGATAAATTAATGGTTTCTTAAAGTAGGCTGAAATTTATTTCTACACTTGTCAACTACTTAAACATAAAAACCGACTATTTGTTTGGTATGTATTGTAATACGAGCGCATGTCTTAGATAATGTCAAAATCCCGATATATACATTTATGAAAATAAATTACGTCATTTTATGTTATAAATTGTACGCTCACATTTTCTTTATCTCTGCAGTTGTTCTTATTACCAATTTCATTAATAAATGTACCATCTCCACCCTCAAAATGTATACTAAATTTTAATGAATGTAAGTTATATATTCATAAAAAAATGTCCATTAGTAGTCTGTAATATTATTTTTTATCAGTATTGATTGTGCAACCCAATTGTTTTGGCAATTACGCAATGATCATAATGCAATAATAAATTGTGACATGTCGACTCCCTCTCTCGCTCTCTCTCTCTTTGTAGACATCGTTATATGATATTTTTGTTATGATACGCCCAAGTATACCTATACAATTTTTTTGCTTTCAAAAACAGTTTTCTATAAGTAGATGTTACCGTTTTATTTTTTTTTTTAAATTTGAGTTCCTTTCGTTTTTATTATTATTATTATTTTTTTTGTAGATGTATTTTACCGATATAAAATCATTTGTACAGTTCTTTAAAATCGGTAGGAGGGCCAGTTTTATGGATTTCATTCAAAACCTTTGTTGAAGCACGTATAAACAGGATCTGAACGTTTTATCGTCTTTTCGTTAATACCTGCTATATTATACCATATATGTATACAGTGTACAACCTGTAATTTTATATAGCTATTGATACTAGAAAAAATTAAGTACGTGGGTGTGAATTTTATTAAAAATAAATTAACATCCTTCTTACATGTTATAAACGATTTTATCTGGGACTGTAAACGCGTGCCTTTTTACTATGTTTAGTAATACACAATATCAATGGAATTTTATTTATTTTTTTAAGATTGATCAGAGAAGGATTATGCGATCGTGGAAGTGCTCCGTCCATCAGTGCAATATCAAGACTTTTAAGAGGTCACGATGGTGATGACACAGGTTCTGAAAAAAAAGTCAGCGATGGTAAGTTTCCTCTTTTATATATACTAAATACACAAAAGTGTATAGGGATTATAAATACGAACATTGTTGGAGTATAACAATATTATACATTTACTATTTCGTTTATGGAAAATTATTATAGTAAAAACTTAAACAGTATTTACAGTAATAATAAATATCTACTGTGCATAAGTATATTTTGTGGCAATTAAAAATTATTTTTGAAATATGAATCAATAAGAATGAAACCCGTAAAAACAAAAATGCCTTTATTCGTTTATAATCTATTGACATTTTTACTGTATCGTTTCATATATGTTTGCTGATAATTTATTGATTTTCTTTTTACAAAAATAAAATTGCTTAACCGTATATATCACTATCATATAATACATGTATTATGATGCTTCAATATAATATTTAAAAATATGTTTTTAGTAAAAATAATATACTGAAAGTTTGGTACTACTATATTTATTCTCAGTATAGTTTTTCAAGTTGATACTTTTTCGAATGGTTAATGTTGTGACCATAACAACACATTTGCGAAACTGATTTTTTTTTTTTTTTTTTAGTTCTCCTCTAATGAAGCGATAATAAAATAGTTTTTATTGTGTTTGGCATTCGTTCAAACATATATAACTTTGATGGAATGGAAATACGTGGCTTATACACTCTATTACTTTAGCAGTGTTCCGCCGTTAAATATTTATTATAATTTCAATATGTGAAGGATATTTAAATTGTTGTAGTAAAGATTTAAGTGACCACGTTGGACATAACCTCACAACAATAGCATTTGAATGGTGTTCAAAAGATAAGCCACACAAGTCGAAAACATGATTGATTAGTTATAGGCGGCTCCGTTTGAAATCAATAAAACTGAAAAACGTATATATTTTTCTCATTGTCGAATTATTTAACAACACTGGAAAACCAAAAATATACTCGTAAAAATATGTTTAAAAATCATGAATATTCAATATAAGACGGATTAAAATCGTATGATAACCAAAATAAATACATTTTAGACAGTAATCTATTGTAGAAATATTGGAAATTCATGTTCAGCTGGAGACACCTGTATGCTTTAAGAATTTAAAATTCGTAACATTTTCAACATGTGCAGATTTTATGAGAATATGTAAAATATAAACAATACATATTTAAAGGTGCATATATCCTAAAGATAATTGTTAATAATTTTGTCTAAGACCTACCATCTTCCACCCCTTGGAAATAAAAATGTACTTCAAATATCTGAAGCAGTAAGTAGTATTCCGCTTGAGTTGTCTTTCTAGATCGTTTTTACGAGATCTATTCGTTATCCCTTCCACGCATAATTTGGTCTTTGACCGAAAGACTTTTTTTCAAAGCGTCGTTTATACAACGACCACATCCTGTGCTGCTAAGTATGAGATATTAAAGTAGACACTATGATTTTAAGCCGGTCTCATCTCACTTATAACTCGAACTATTGATATTAGTCGATCGACATTAAACGAAATTTATGGAAATCGTTAATTTGGAATGCTACAAAACGTTACGCGAACCGCGCTAAATTTAGCTTAAGAGTGTGTTCAAAATGGCTAGGTGCGGAACACAATCTATCGACTATTGAAACGCACGTGAGTCGGTAAATCGTGCGGACGAGTACCTACCAACTGCACACGGGACGCGGTGCAACAATACGCGTAGGAACACTTAACAATTTGTTGGATTTCGTTTTGTGCATTGTCTGGGGTATAGCAGCGGACCGCAACGAAAACGTAACGCGGCGGTGTTATTTAACCTAAACGCGCACTCGTCGCCACAGATCGCCGTGCACAACCCGACGGCCGCTTTAATGTCGCGCGAACAAATTGTGTCGGATCGATGTAATGAATACAACAATCGTGTGTTAACATCATCGTCGTTGTGCGTCGGTGTTATTATTTACAAGAAACCGATTCTCGCACCACAAACGTCATTAATAACACACCGCGCCGATACACAATATAAAACTAATAGTAATAGTAATAATAATAATATATATATATATATATATTATTATGTACCTACTCTGAACGGCGCGCGGCGTGCGCGTTATTGTTGTTTTAAAACCATTACCCGGTTTCGGGTTTTTGAACCACCGCCGCGCCGGTCCTTGTACATTAAGCGCAAGCGCCTTCGCCTATACGTGTGTGTCTTCTCACGATGCCGCCGTCAAAACCCGCAGCGAAGTTTTTTTTTAGTTTTTTTTTCCTTTCGCTAAATTATGAAAAATGATTTTTCGTTTCCCGTTCACGCCGACCGCGACGGCAGAGCGACCCTCGGTGCGCCCCACATTTTTTCTTTCTCGAGCGCACACGCGCACACGCACTTGCACTGGCGCGGGGACAGAATTATAAAACAAAAAAAAAAAAAAAAAGAAGCGATTTCGGGCGAAATGTGTTCGTCGCCGCCCGGTCGGTCTCTTTGTGTAACCCAATCGTTGCGGTCTGCCGAAATTACGTAGGTACACACACGTACACACACACATACACACTCTTCAGTCATCCGACACGTTCAGATCTTTAAGTGTCGCGCGTGTGTTTATGCATGTATCAACAAGGTGTGTGTGTGTGTATGTGTACGTGTGATCGTCTCGACATGCGTTTAGCAGGACTCAATTGTAACGATAAATAATAATTATTATTGTTATAAGTATGTACTACCCGTTGCGCGTAAAACCCTTCCTAGTTTGCAATATGATTAATACGTTTTTGTTTTTAATTATATAAATGAAACGTTTCCCGAAATCAGACCAACATCTAGTCTTACGACCGTAAGAATACAGTACGGAAAGACGGGCCACGAATAAAATAAGAGTAATCGTTTTTTCGTTATTTCTCGACTCGATTGAAATTTAACAAAAATATTATAATTTCACACTGTCATTCATTATTATTGGTTATAATAACAACTTGTTTGAAATACATTTTATTTTATTTTTCAAAGAAAATTATTTAGTAGCCATGTATGTTTGGATGAATCGATTTTTTTTTTTTTTTTTTAAATTATTCTCAAAAATAAATATGCTTACATAGCGATTCCTCGAACGTTAGCTATAAACAGTTCAATCTTGCAATAAATAGGTCTATACATTTTTTTTTTCGAACGCACCTACGGAAAGGGAAAAATAAAACGACTAAAGCTTAGACGAACGTAACAAAAAGTATTCGTCCGTATGACGATATGAAACACGTGTGTTCTTATAAAATCAGAATATCCATACGAGTCGATTACGAGAGTTTTCACTAATAGACACACCTGCGTACGTATTTTACTCGTAAAACCGTTACTTCCACGAAACGCAACAAATCCATTTCGCACGAACTTCAATCGTTCGCTGGCCACACATAACATACACACACGCGCGCGTTGCACAATTTTCCTCGTCGTTTTAGCGTATATTCGACGAGTTTAGTGAACTCTCCGCGCCGACAGATACTCGGTAAATACGTGTCAGCGCGTTGCTGTGGTAACAATGGACCGTCATTGCAGTACACGATTGTTGGACGAAGAATGGATCGAAATAAAATATTGTTTCCGATGGATTTTGAATAAAATATCTTTTCTTGCTTTTGAAAAAAAAAATCTAAACTTATTATTCGGACAAGCGAAATAGATAACTAACAACTCGGACGTTTCTTATTCACCGCACTGCTAACGTGGTAATACGTTACGTTATTTCATCTATTTAATTTATGAGTAACAATAGTAAACTTAACTTAACAATGGTATAGATATTTTTTTTTTTTTTTTTTTGTTTGTTTATCAGATGCTTATATTTTTTAACGATTTTTGTTAGGAATGCAAATAAAAAATTAAAAAATATTAAAATTCATTAAAAAGAGCTATCTTTTCCAGAAATACGTGCAACGTTTAAAACATTTAAAAAACATAAATCTATAGCATCATATTTTCGCACTACAGTACACATAAATTTAGTTATTGAAGTATTAGATGCCTATAAAACACAGAAATTGTATAAATCATAGTACCCTGCAAATTATAACATGTATTATAAACAAAAAGAAACTAAAGCTTTCTTATTCCGCACAAAATCTTAAAAATAAAAATAAAAAAAATATTAAATTAAATTATCTAAATATTGTTGTATGTGTTGCATAGGTAAGACTTCGGATGGCTCGGACTGTGACTCGGAACCGGGTATACCACTAAAGCGCAAACAGCGACGGAGTAGAACTACGTTCACTGCGTTGCAGTTGGACGAGCTGGAAAAAGCGTTCGAACGCACTCAGTATCCGGACATTTACACCAGAGAAGAGTTGGCCCAGCGGACTAAACTAACCGAGGCCAGAATACAGGTGAGACAAATACCAATAAGAGTCATTTATTTTTATCAATGAACTCTATAAGAATGTTGAGGTAATAATGTAGGGGCTATCTGTGAAACGGGAGCATCTAGGAAAAACTAAACTATATTTTTAATCGTATTGAATGTAACCTCCTTCTTAAAACGAAATGTTTAAATATACGGTCATTCCTCAAGTGGATCCCTGTAAACTCCTCACTAAGTTTTATTACATTTTTACATTCGTGATTTTACTTCGAGATATACGATCCCAACACATTTGATATTTTTATTATTCATTTGGTACTATGTGTTTAAATAACGGAGATATGTAAAACTCTCGGTACGATCGAGAATGCGCGATTTTTTGTATACAACCGATATTTACGATAAATTATTAACAAAGAAAATATGGTGCAAATACGTAGTCTTGGAAGGGCTTCGAAAAATATTGGAAAGTTTCAAGTACTTCTCTCCAATGGTTAAATATGGATACATATGTATATATCCACCGAAGAAAAAGCGTGCGAGTCTTATCGTAACGTATGTTAACGTCGGCTAGTTATTTTTCTGCGTACCGCTCCGTTTATATATTTTTATGTTTTCTTCCCATTTGTAGCGTATACTACAACAATAATTCCCAATATCAATGCTGTAAATTTTTTTTAGTAAAATTATTTAAGAACTTATGTTATTTTGAATTTAAATCCTATTTTAAAAACACTTAATAATGGTATTGAATACTAATTCATATATTTTACTGATACTTTAATTTTTACCGATGGCTTAATTTTTTTTAATATTAATTTTAAACTTTTTCGTGATGCTTTAGTGATTGCAATCTAACATTCAACGATTATAAACATATTTTTTTGTATTCGAAAAACCTTAACCAAAATCATTTATCAATATACAATAGTTATTAATAAGTGTTTAAAAAAAAATTTCTAAAACGTTTTCCATTAGTATTTGATATTATAATTATATCCCCAATTAAAGCAATGTATCGAGTTAAAATTAATTGCTTGTAACCTATATATGTATGTGTGTATGGGTTTGTGTATGTGTGTGTGTGTGCGTGTGTGTGTGCGCGTGCGCGCGCACCACGTTTACGGTAATTTGGTTACGGTGTGGTTATATTCTCCAATCCGTTTCTCTACAGGTATGGTTCAGCAACCGGCGCGCCAGACTGAGAAAGCAAATGTCAAGCAACACCGGAAGTTCGACACCGGGTTCCGGAGGCTACGGCATGGGGTTGGCTCTCGGGTACTCGCCGACAGCGCAGCAGCAAAACCAACAGCAGCAACAGTCGTCGGGGCCGAACTCGTCTTCCACGCCCGCGTACATAATGTCGCCACAACAGTTGCACGAACCGTACAATACGCCGGACGGATACAAAACGGGTATGCATCTGAGCAATTACTTATTACGCGCCGCGTTTAATAAGTAAAACTCTAGGTCTATTATCGACTCGACTGGGCGACTTCTGCATCAGGAAATTTTAAATCGTCAGTACACGGATGGTTAACAACAATTGATATTATTAACATAGTTGTCGTTTTATGATTGTTATATACTATACAATTTTAAAACAAAAATTGTATTGGCGGTAACATTATAGACATTTTATGCACTTCAATGTTATCCAAAGTATAATGTTAAATAATTATCAATACGGATTATATAAATAAAAAAAATGATATTTTCTAACCTTTCGATGATTTTCTAATGTCAAATCACGCATTCAGACGCATCATTAGAATAAATTGATCATTGCTATGATATTATAACACACGGTCGAAAAATATTCGAACAATATATTTCAATTTTAATTTTAAACATATATTTTTAATATATTTTCGGTCAAAATATTTATACAATCTTTTTTTTTTATAGACGCCGACGACCATCACCATCAACAGCAACAACAACAACAACAACAGCAGCAGCAGCAGCAACAACAGCAGCAGCAACAACAACAGATGCTGATCAAAGAAGAACAACAGCAAAACAACATGATGTATAGTGGCCTAGGAGCCACGACGTTAATAGACCACGACAACAGACCGCACAGCAATATCAGTACCGAAGCCGCAACAGCCACGTCGTACATCGGTATCGCGGCCGGTTCGTATCCGAGCACACCGCTGTACACGACCACGTCATCTCTACTCACGTCTCAGGTAAGTCCATTTGGTCGATACGACTTCATTACATGAAACACGTGATTGCTGGTATCGTTTCTCTTTTCGCCACGATTTCATATCACTTAAGATCGATAAAAATTACAAAAGATACTCTTCGTGCGGTGTCAAAGTAACTTTGTCTTTCCGAGCGCTCTCATTTTCTACCATATTCGCGACAGACGAACGAACTGATCTATTTTGGTTTCGTGTCCCCCACGGTCCTTCAAAGTCTTATTATTTACACGCCATTAGAATACACAATATAACGTACGATATCGATATATACGACGTACGCACATCGTTTTTCATCGGTATTTCTGTATATCGGCAAAAGAACGCGGCTGCGTCGTTATTATGCGTTTGTACCTACATCGATCGTGCTGATCGACGACGTGCATGTGGTAACAATAATAATGATCTTGTCCCGAAAAATAGTCGCTTTCGTGTTTCTATACACGTGTATAGTATTTATGTATACGAGCGAGTAAAAGGACATAAAAAGGGTATATGCTGCTGCAGACACCATTTACCAGCGGGGTCGTAGGGTTATTTATAAACCGGAATGATGTATACGTATTTGTAATGTATTGTCGTGTGACGAACGGTTGTCGTTCGTCAGATTTAGTCTAGAAATCGTTGTCCGTTGCATCGTCAACTCACGTGATAATGTTATACCTGAGATGTGTTCCTTGTTAATAAGGCTCAAACTTTATTACATTTATACTGTACTTTTGAAACAACGTTGTTGCACTAAAAATACTTTGACCGATCAATTAATAATAATAATAAAAAATAAAAAAAACACTATTTATTTCATTACTTATAACTAGGGCCGGGATTTTAATGTCCTTAAAAATCGCAAAAAATGACCCTAAAAAAATGCAAAAATTATTCAAAGAATTCAAAAAATGCATTAAAAAATGCCTAGAAAATTTTACAAAAATTACATTAAATATACATAAATATTTTATTTCATTTCATATATTAAAAAATAAAAAAATATTCTTTATTGTTACAACTAATCACGAGAGCGTGTTTCCTGTTGTTCCCCAATAAGTCTTTGTAGACATACATATTTTTTTCTTGTTCTTCAATTTGTTCTCTTCGTTGTACTCCATTAATATGTTTGTCCCTTAATATATGTATGGTTAAATGTTTGTCAACAGCAACTTTTACATTGCATACCTTACACAACAACACTAATCCGTCGATAGAAAAATCTATAATCTATAATTTTAAATTCAAAAATACCAAAAAGGACTTAAAACCCCCTAAAATGCCCTAAAAAATAATAAAAATTACCTTAAAATCAAAAACTGTCATGAAATGCAAAAAAATTCAAAATAAAATTTCTTATTCTAATTTAAAAATACCTAAAACATATTTGTAACAAAATGAGCATTGTACAGAAAGCTTCAGAAAAAAATGCAAATTGCATCGAAATCCCAGCCCTACTTGTAACAATGCCCTCGTATAAAATAATAAATGTTGTTCCGTCGATGAAAATAATCGATAAAGGCTATGCGTTTTAGAAAATTAAAAAAAAAAAAAAAAAACAATAACAGTAAATTATTAATCGTTGTACTGAATGCATTTTTGGAAAATGACTCTTCGCGCTGTCTTTCTGTCTACAATGATCGTACTTGTGTTCGCAGTAATATAAACAAACATTTTTAAACACATAGCGAGCGGTTGAAAAAAATGACGTATACATGTAAATAAAAAATTAACCATAATTGCACGAAAACCGTTAACAGTGTGTACTGGTACCCACCCGTGTACGTTTTACATTTTAACGCTAAATATTTACCATGGTTTCAGATGGGACAGTTGAACGGGAGCGGTGGTCAGCTCTCGCAGCTGCACATTGGACCCGGAGCAGCCGGCGGAGGCGGCCATCAAGCCTCGTCGCCAAGTTTGCTGTCGGCCGCGTCCCAAGCCTATCAGATCGGTTCGGCGGCTCCGAACGCTGCTCCTGCGATGATCGGCCACCATCAGCTGTCACCGGTGTCGGCCAACATCACACTCATGGGACAACCGAACGGTAAGCACAACCTGTTAAGCCACGTCCACACTAGCGTGACAAAACGACGAACTGTTCGTCAAACTATTTGACAAACTGTTCGCAGAACAACTTAAAAATATGTGTGTATGTTTACGTGTCCATGTTCGCGTACAGCTAACCAATAAATTAACTTATATAAGTTAAATAACTTTTCTGAATAACTTCATAGTAGTTCAATCTATCGCTGAGTGTAGACGTTTGTCATGTCGCTTCAAATTACTGCTGCAGCTTATGTTTATATACATCTCATACTAGAGAAAAATAATAGAAGACGAAAACGTTGGTGGCAAACCCAACTTTTTACTCGTCGATCAAAATTTGGAAGAAATTCGTTGTTAAACGATTTAAGGACGCAAGAAATTAATGGACAGTTTCAAAACTTTATGAGGATGTCCTCGAGTTACTTTGATTTGCTTATTAATTTGATTGGGCCAAAAATTGTTAAAACTGAAACGATTTTAAGAGAACCTATATGGGTAAAAGACAGATTGGCAGTAACACTTCGATTTTTAGCTACTGATGAATCGTTTACAAGTTTGCAGCACCTTTTAAAAATGTCAAAACAAGTCATTAGTAATATTGTTAAACTTGACTTAACTTAAAAACTGATCATAAAAAATAATAGTTTTATTTTGTGTGCTCGTGAAAATGTTCGAAGACGTGTCCATACCTGTCGTAACATGTTCGCGTAATATCCTTTGATGTTACGTCGAAATACCGACAACTGACGGATCGCCGATTTGTTCGATAGAATGTTACAAGTTCGCCCATTTGTTACACACGAATCCTGTTGGCTAACACATGTTCGTCGTTTTGTTACGTTAGTGTGGACGCGGCTTTGCGGTATTGCACGCGTCGTCGGCGCCCAGTCGAACCGACCACGAGATTGCAAACACGTCCGTATAAAAGTTTGATTTCAAAATGAATGGATAATATGTTCAAACGAATCGGGTACGAATGAAATAGATGACCGTCGGATAAAAGCTTTAAAATGTTTTCGTGCATTCGGATATTCTGTCCGTCAGGAATCTATATGCTCGTGTACTCGATCATTTCCAGTGAACATACATACTTCGCACTCTCTCATTCTCTGCAGATGAATGTGTCATCTGAAAACAGCAGCTATACACATATGTGTAGGGCCGGATTAACCTAAGTGCAAAAGAAGCATTTGCTCCAGGGCGGCAAATTTAGTGGGGCAGCATAAATAAAATAGCTTCAAAAAAATTATTTAAAATCGTCATTAATACAAGAAACAATGTCCAATTTATCAATTTTATGCATAGAATCTGATTTGGTTGAGGAAATGAAGTGATAAGAACTAGCATAAAAACTTGTAACTATTAAATCCATAAAAAAATATAATTAAAAAAATTTTTTTTTTTTTTAATTGGCGTTAATATTAAAAATTACTTTAATTATTATCTATATATTTTGAACCAATTTATTAATATTATAATTGTATTTTGTCAGTATTTTCCATTAGTTTAAAAAAATTCTTTGCAAAATTATTCTGTGTCATTTAACATATACTTATTTATACTTTTTAGTTTAAGTAGATTGATTATTATATTAGGTACCTATATTTTATAATATATATTTATAAGTAGTATTTTATTTTTTAATTTATACATGAAAACCAGGATTTTTTTTTTCGATCTCACTTAAACCTTATTTCTTTGAGGGGCAGGGGAGGGACAAACATTATTTGCTCCAAGGCGGCATCGGCCCTTAATCCGGCACTGCATATGTGTGTTATCCATATGAATCAAGAATTCATTAAAAAATGTTCACTCTTCACGATGTCTGTCGTATTAGCGAATCACAATATTGTAATATTAAACATATTTATTCCTCGAGTTTGTTTTGAATTATATATTTTTAATCCAACTGCATCGTAATACACATACTTTGTACGTATCGTATGGGTATTAACAATTACATAATGTCGACAACATCTTCATATTTTCGATAATTTATGATTATTATTTGTACGCAATAACATAATTTGCATATCGACCAGTTAACCGTTTCAATAGAATATTGTACCGTAGTATTTATCAATCACATAAATAACAACATCATAGTAGTATGTTTTCCAGAAAGCCTCTGATAATGAGTCCACGGCTAATATTGACCCAATCAATCAATGGTACTCACGGTAGTTAATGCGAACTACATGATCAATGCACCCAATAACTTCGAATATGCCACGTACCATAATAGTATACCATTTTAAGAATATGCAATTGAATCTTAATAATTCTAATAACTTTCTAGATCCCCTTAGAACGTGAAAATTTATATTTTTTACCATCTTTTTTTTTTTACTCAGCCTTCTAACCTGCTCGAAGTCATCATTATTATTACTGTTTTAACGTTGATTTCTTGTGTTTTTCTCGATAGGCACAAACGGCGGCGATAGCCTGATCACCGTGTCATCGACCGAACTGGTGTCCATGCAGAGCCCATCCAGCTGGTCCGCGCTGGCCAACCACCACCATCACCACGGAGGCAGCGGCGGTGGCGGCATCGGCGTCAGTGGTGGACACCATCAGATGCCGCCCATGAACCCCACCAGGATCAGCCCGCAACCCGCGCTCATACCGACCGCGTGCATGGGTGGCCAGATGAGCCCCACGTCGGCCGCCTACTACCAGCCCCGGCAAACGCACCCTCCTTTTTACACTTGGTACTGACCGGCCGGCAATTAAACGTCCTGTTCTTTTTCATTTTTTCGTTCTTACAAGCGTCGACCTTTGACGTCCCGCACGCTTGCTGCAAGTTAGGTTTTTAGGTTAACAGGTTGAAAACCCGGGAACCGCGTGAATGAAACTCATGCACCAACACCCTCCCCCAGAACGAATACGGGCTGTCGCATCATCACAAGGATTCGTACACGACCATTTGTACTTCTATGATGTATAAACATCCCAATATATGTATCTCATTATAGACCGTTTGTTTTTTTCTAACAAAATTACGATTCGTAGACTAATATATTTACTATATTCCTCATCATAGAACAAATTTAAATTATTAAATCCTCGAGGAACTATATTCCTCATCATAGGACTAATTTAAATTATTAAATCCTCGAGAAGCGCATTTATGTACAACTGTACAATTTATGTTCATAATATATGTACAAATATATATCTGTTGAGAAAACTGTTTTTCTACACACGCACAGTATAGATATTTTTATTTTTAACTTCTTAACAGTAAAATGTTTTTAATATTTCCAACTAGTTCAAACAGTGGCGTAAAAAATTCTATTAAATTTTAAATCACTGTTAATCTTCCGGTGGTATAAAAACCATCGTAGTCGCGTATAGGGATTAAATAAAAATATACGAGGAAAAGTATATCTACACATATGTAGCTAGCGCGAATGTGCAAATGACTTTGTTCCTTTGGAAATAGTGATTTTGAAAATTACAATTTTACTATTCTATATCTCTTTGCGACAACGTGTTTGGGTGTGGAACTTCTGTGGTCGAACGTAGAAACGGTCCAGTAAGAGCAACGCACGCGTTCCCGGTAATTTTAGCAACAATGCGGTTTCTATAACAGGAAGAGAGATGCACAAGACACGACGTTCGTAGTAAATTTTCAGAAATCTATTCAACCGACGACGCCACTGCGCAAACCGGTAACCAAACAAAAAACTACCGTTACCCGAAAACTTAGGTAATCCGACCGACTAGACTATATAATGTACCATTACTACCTAAGTATAATAATAGACGAACAGATTCCCGTGTACAAATTGTATTACGCGTCCGTGGGTGTGTACGTGTTTATAATAGTTTACATATCCGGTGGACGCGATGACATTTTCTCCCCCTTGTCCTCACCACAATAACCCCTGTTCAACACCCCCGTACCTAGGGCGACGCGCCACGCCACGGGACATGGTGTACGGCGGCGGTATTCACTGTAAAAACCCTCCGAGTCGGGACGATAATGTCTGTACGTCTCGGTATTGTTATAAATTATTGTTACGTCCGAGAAGTCAAGAGTTCCCCCTCCCCCCCCCCCCCCCCCCTGCCCCCGTATACACAGGTATCACGACCCCGGCGACGTACACGGTCCGCGCGCACAAAGACGGACAACAATGATTGCACGGGGTTCTCGGTGCGGCGGGTGCGATCGCGTTTGCGGGACGTTACTTACACGTACACGTATATCGTATACCGTTACGAAAAACGCGTTGTGCACTGCGAATATCTGGTGCGCGATGAAACCCGCGTCCAAACGGATCCTATGCCAACATCGAACGTTATAATATCGTATCGTTTCCACGATCAGTGCACTCCCGGGCGCCGTATCAACGTGTGACGCGCGTTGATCCGCAAAACGGTGTTCAGCTCTTCGACAACGCATTTAAGATCTAATACTATGATGTTCACGTTTCTGCAACGTTCGCATTGCGTTACTCGTACGCCGCCGATGTGTTTTTCGAACGCGAATATTGTCGTTTTCGCAAACGGTTCAATCCGTGTTCCTATTTTTTTTTTAATTTTTTTCAAACGTTCTATTTGACCGTAGTCGCTTCGGTACAGAAACGCACGTGTAAAAAAGTATCATTTTTGTACATAGTTTTCGGTGACGTGAATCGGTAGTGTTTGCTACTGTTAGGCAAAAACCATATGTTTTCAAACAATGTCACGCGATATTACGATCGAGGCGAACTCGTTACACGCTGCCACGAGTGTTTTGTTATTGCAACTCCGATACCTGAACGATTAATAAAATGTATTGATAATTTATATAATCACGCATAAATATTGTATTTCAATTGTATATTTGTTTTAAAATTATTTTGTTTTTGTTGTACATATGTGTGTATCAAACAATTGAAGTTTTTTTTTTTTTTTTTGCAACACGATGCAAATTTTATCATGTATTGTTAATTTGTTGATTTTAGCTAATTTTTTTTAATTTTTAAGCAATCACATCATCCTATATATGTTTAGTTATATTTTTGTCAGTTAAAACTCACTCTTTTATTTTCCTTTATTTTTATTTTATTTTATTTTTTTTTTTTTTAGTAATAACGTTTTTTTTCCTTCTGTACTTAATGATTGATAGTATAATGTGCTGAATAAATTGTAAATTTTATCATCGTAAATAATTTTTTCTGTTCTACATCAATGAACTAGTATGTCCTACAACTGGCAACGCAAACAAAAATACATGTTGTTATCAATACATTATATATGTCGTAGCCACTTGAAAATGTGAAATTGACCATTTCATAAAATGGAAACGGCTTTTTCACACTTTGTAAAGTACGAACATATTTCACGATATAGTATTTTTTTCACGAAACGGTCACTCCAATTAGACATCGTAACATTTTTTTCAAAATCTGCAGACCATGGTCGTTCACTTAGAGTATCCAAAATATGTTTTATATTACTTATCATAGTTTTGCAATTGTTTTTGTTTATATCTTGCAATATGGTATTTATATTATATTAAGTTTAGTTTTGATACAATTAATAATAGTAATATGTTGGTAGTTAAATAAATTACAAAATAATTTAAATATAATGTAATTTATTTGAAAAATGTATTCAGTTATGGCAACGTCTCTCACAATTAATACTGCGTTTTAAACAAGCACAACGTTTAGCTTGGCAAACATTTTTGTATGCACAACTTAAAAATACCTGGTCTCCAGTTATAATTTTGACTGTTTCTCGTAAATTCAATTCGTTCTACTTGTTCAGCAGATATGAAATGTGTTATTGAAATTGCGATTTGAGATTTGCCTTGAGAAAAATAAAACCTTCAACAAATTTTGTACAATATAGCTATGTTGTTTATGGATGGATTTAAAAAGAATGTATAAGTTATTCTGTGCCTTTAGGTAACTTTTTAGATACCTTTGGTAACTCGTATTCCGCGTAAAGATAATAACACAAACCTGTATAAAAATAAGTAATAATTTAATATTTTATTTTCAATCATCATTGCACGATACGACGCATGTCGTATGTTTTCGGGCTTGTACACGCAACACGCATGAGCAATGCTCATTGAGCATGTACTCGTATACATAGAAAATTATTAAAAATATGTTCGGATTCTTATGGTTCCAACACATCATTACAAACATTTTATTCTCTATATATATAATTTTTATGGTCGTTTATATTATTTAATCTTCTTTTTAATAATTCATTTTTCGTTAGTAATTATTAATTATACTCTTTTAAACGTCATTCGATCCATTTTCTATTATCTTCCTTCAAATATATATTTCTGTAATAAGTTATATACTTATATACAAAATATAAATTATGTAACATACGTTTATAAACGAAGTGTGAATTCAGTTCTATATTGTCTAAGTATTTCTGTAAAAACACTATAGACCAGCGATCGCCAACCGGTGGTCCGCGAGAAAATTTAGGTGGTTCGCAAAAAAATTTGAATGTTAGGTACTTACAGAATTTTTTTATCGTGATTTCCCAAAAAAAATAATACCTTATACATGGTATTATATGGATAATAGATCCATTGCAGCAAATAATGAAAATAACAAGTTAAATATGACCGAAAAAAAATACCTCATCGATTTATTTAACGGTATTTATGTGAAAAGCTATTTTAAGCTAAAAGTGATCCGTAAAATTTAGAGTATGTATTTAGTGGTCCGTGAGGTCCAAAAAGTTAGCGACCGCTGCTATAGACTACACACTGTAGAGCCCAAAACCGAACAGAAATAAACAATAAAAAGAAAATTCTGTCTTCACTCGATAAATATAATATTGATTCCTACCATCGTTAGACAATTATTATCTTATATCGTACCTAATAATCAGGAGGAGCAGTTTCCCTTCTGATATTTAACATATCTTGTTTTAAAATAAGTAAAAAACAGCTGGTTATAGTTACTATACAATTTTTTTTTTTTTTTAAATCTTGACTTTCAATGTTCGCTTATTTAATATAATGTTAGAAAATGAATAATTTTATACAATAATATGTAGGTAGTACCTAAAGCGGCATTTAAAACTCTCCCCGTTGGGCCGCTGTAATTTTGATTGAATAAGATTACTTAGATTTTTTTGTTTTTAATTTAATACATCTATCTTCTATTCATAAAATAAATAAAAAATATCGCCTTGTAACCAAAAGAAAATATTGATGTGGGTAGACACGTTCGTGCAAGATAAGGGATAACGAAATTATTTTTCGATAATAATAATTTTTATAAGATTTATTAGAATTTTATTTAAAAAAATTGCAATAGTTTTGTCGTTCAGTCAATAACAAGTCTGTACTTAGTTTCTAACCTTTCTGTTGACTTAAAGTTATTTATTGCCGGTAAGCAATTATTTTATAACAATATTATATAACATTATTATTATTATATAACAATATATTCTAACTCAGTGGTCGGCAACCTTTATGGACCCTTGCGCCACATTCACAAATTAAAAATTGTTCTAGGGCCAGACAATACAAACAATTTATATGATATTCAATGACATTTGCTAGTTTTGTAATTCACTGCGGGCCGTATAAAAGAGATATTAGTTACCAACCACTGCTCTAATTCAATTAAAATTAAATGTATAAACATATTTAAATCAAATAGTTTTTTATGCTGTAAAATTCATCTTAATAGGTAGGTCATTATATCAATAATTTGATTAGGTACCTACTTATAAAGTTCCATTGAGGCCGTTCGAAATTATTTTGCCCGGGCCGAGCTATAGAGCTATTCCAACCCTGGCTGTGGACACCCTTTTCGTTAGATATGTAATTATATATTTGCCCCTCCTAATAAATTTCCAAGTTACGCCCACGATTAAGACCAAGCAGTCCAATATCCAATAGAATTTTTGAACTCATTAGAGCTTCCTGGTTTCCCACCACATGAGCTTCGCTTAAAAAAAGTTCTGTCATCATATTAATTAAGAACTTAGGTTGATACGACTGATTACTTTGTAAGCAAGATACTTTTTAAAGATACTATTTTTAAACAAAGACAATTTTTATATAAGTAATGGGTAATTTATTAAGAAACAAAAATTATGATTTATTTTATAGTATTATTACATTTGAAAACGTTTCTAATTTAACACTAATTTAAATAACGCAAAACGCTAAATTTTTCATAACGTTTTAATTGTAAATAACGGTAAACGGAAAATTTCTTAAACGTTTAAATTTGTATAACGTTTAAATGCTTAAATTGAATAACGTTTAAATTATTTATAGCGTTAAACGCTCAATTGCTTATAACGTTTATATGTCCCATAACGATAAATAATATATATTATTTTGATTGAAGACCCAGTCCATACTTAATGAAAAATTAGATAAAACACAAGTGAAACTTTCATTACATTTATAGATGTTAAAAAAGAACTACACAAAAAACCATTCCAAGTGGATCCTTAATGAAAAAAAAACCCACAAATATTAAGGATTCACCTGATATAAATATTACCAAAAAGTGTACTTGTAAATTTTGAGCCTGAATTAAAGAAAAAATTTGAGTCGCCCCCCACCTCCTAGAAGTAAGTCTAAATACACCCCTGAGTGTAGTATAGATATCAGTGGTACATCCGCAAGGATAGTCATCGCACGCAATCGATTTCTGAATCATTCGCCCACGTAGAGTAAACATTATATAGACCAAAGGTTCATCGCCACGAGTCATTCGATCTTTGTCTTCTGTACAACGTCCTTTCAGTCGTCTTTTGCCATGAAACCTCAAACGTACAAAAGGGTTGGCCAAATGCTGACAGCTCCACCGTTTTACTCGGAATCCGTTAACGTACTTCCAACGTACAACGGCAGTGTCCCTCGGTATCCGCCGCCGCCGTACGCTGAACAGCCCGATCAAGTCACCGTCGTCCAAACGCAGTCTTCTGGTAAGTTTAAACGGGCGTGCATGACGTAACAATCGGTGATTACAATTATATCGCAAAGTCACGGGACTGGAAATAGGTCTAAAATAAACGTAGAATTTACTAGAAATTAAAAATAATTATAGGTTATATAAAAAGCGAATTCATAAATCCGGATAATCCAAATACTTCGGTATGCGGATAATCTGGATACTACGGTAAATCCGGATAAGAATTTGATTCAAATCTGGATTTGAATATCCGCACATTCAGATAATTCAAATATTCGGACTTCATGCCAATTAATTAGCTAATTTGGGTAATTTTAGGTTATGCTAATTTTAACCGTATGTAGATTATCCCTAATATCTAGTGGTTAATTTTTATAACAGCCAAGAAGAATATATAAATAACTCATATTTTGAATACCTTTGATCAATATTATCAAAATGCCGATGTACGTAATACGTGCATGAATATACAGACAAAAAATAGGTGATATAATGATAAATTATTTTCTTCGAAAATATATTTACAAAAATAAAAACGTAAATAAAATGTATATGTATAAACGTTTTGGATGTTCATATTTATCGTGGAACCCCTACATTTTTTTTTAGCTTTATAGCTTTTTTATAATTATTTATAAATAAATTATAATCATATAATAATATTGTGTTAAAGGTATAATTAAACATCTGTTATTTTATTCATTAAATTATTGAATAAACATTTAAACATTTTTAGACATATTTATGTACGCTGTTTCTATTATTTCAGTTCCACCATTAGGTCTACGTTTAGAAAATGTAACATGCCCATCATATAAATCATTGGTGATGTCGACTGTGGAAAAACCTGCATATATTTTAGTATTTTTATCTTACATATTGATGTGTATTTTTGAGTATGATAAAACAAAAATGTTAAACAAATTTGATAAAAATATTCATTATACGTTTGTTATTGTTTTTCAGGATTTATGCTTTTTCTTATATTTTCTTATTCTAAAATAAAGAATAAAATACCAAACAATTTCACAATGTTTTAGTAATTAGGATTGATTTATATTTTCTTTATTTTTTACCATTTATAATTTAAATGTGCCTTACACTTTATGAAATATATTTTATTATTGGATGTCAATCAATTATTACATGTTTCATGGTTGCATCAATTGTCAATTTTTTTTTAAACTCTAAAAAACTTGTATTTTGTTCATAAATATATATTCCGTATTATTTCATTAAAATCAAATTTAATTCTATAAATTGAACCTTTTAAAATTTTTACAATGATCAATTTATAATGATTTATAAAATGTTGCACCCAATTTAAGTAGCTCTAACGTGAACTTAGGCGTTTTGTTTTATATGAGTAGGTAACTCAACGTTACACATGAACCGTACACACATTGATGGCGAACGGAAAACAAGTAATAAATTAATTAAACGGATGGCAGGAGTTCAATGTTAATTATCGGTGAAAGGTCTCAGTGGTTGAATCGGTTTGGTGCAATGACCATAGAGCTCACACACAAATCAGAAAAAAATACTTAAACTAAAATTAAAACAATTTGAAGTCTGAACTGATAACTGTAACTGGTAACTTGTGATCCTGACATCCTGGGCGGCCTGTCACACACCACTTGGGATGCTGGTGGTCTTACGCATGGTCCAAATAGTTCATGAGAGGACTTGTGGAAGAACTTCAATAATTTACAAGACAAATTTACACTTATTTGAACAAGGAATGATTACACATGACACAGACAGTTGGTTGACACAAAAAAATATGATGAACAATGATATGTGTCAGATATCTTACGTCTAACATCGCATGGCTGAATGATTATAGTGTTATTAACATTGAGTATATGAAGATCAATAAATTTAAGCGGAACACAATTGATTTTAGGAATTTTATTTATATTTATATTTAACATTATTAACCAGTTAATCGGTCGAATTTTGACCCCATATTAATGATCAAAATTCTAAGTTAGATCCAACAAAGGAGCAATAAAGCGTTTTTAGTCCTTGAATATTTTTAAATCGTCTGGTATTTCTTAATATAAAACCAAGCATTTTAAATGCTTCATTGATAACTATGTTAATATTGGAAGTAAAAGATAAATTACTGGAAAAAAGCACACCCAAATCTCTTACTAAGTACACTTCTTATTAAACAACTAGCTTCAGTAAACCTAACCTAACCTCTTTATATGAAAATGAAGAATTATTTCTTATAAAATTTATAACTCTATCATTTTTCTTTGGGTTATTTGATGAATGAATTATGTGATAGATATCTAACAATATGTATTTTAGGTCAAATGCTGACTTAACCAAGTTTCTAAAAGTGTATTTAATAGCATTTTGTTGTTCATATCTGTTGTTAAGCATTATTATAGTTATATTATAATTTTTTAATGCTATTTAATGCTATAGATATTCATGATTTAAATTAAAATTTTGTTATTTTGATGCTGTTCTATGAAGAAACTATTCAGTAAAATATTAATATTTGTTTAAAATGTCATTGCATTTTTGTCAAAATATTATAATAATGAAATTCTTTTATTCTAAATGCTTGAAGAATCTCGAGGGAAATAAGACAATTGATGAACCAAATAAATATAATAGTAACGCATTTATCACTGGAACAAATGATACCTGGATATCATATACATCAAATAATACTAAAAGTTAGTTACTTAACACAGAAACATCAAATCATAAGTAAAAAAAAATTGGTTATATATTAATTGATAAATAAATACAAGTGAAAATAGGTAACCGAACAACTAACAGAAGAAGGTAATATTCAAATTTTATCACTTATGAATAAATGAAATAAATATCCATAGACATGATAAAATATGCCAGAATTATAGTAACTTGTAAGTATAAGAGTTGATCAAATTTTACTATTAATATAGTCACATATATAATAATATATTAGTATATAATAAAATATATATATAACCTACTGATATCAACATTATCCTTAACACTTTCATACAGTTCTCATGAGATTTAGTTGTTGGTACATGACATTAATTTTTGGAAGATTTTATTCTTTCGCATTTAAATTAATTAACTTTTAGCTTTTGATTGGTATGTTGAAAACAATGAAAAAAAAAAAATTACTTCTTTTGCATTTTCATTTTTTTTGGCTAATAATAATAACGCATTGCTATAACGTTTTAAAATTTAATTTTTCAACCTAACAATATTTCGTATAAAATATTTGTCACATTTAGAACGGAGTTATAAGTAAAAACATACAATTTCCTTCTAATTTTTTCTGAAGCCATCAAAAGTTTCATTAATACTTTAAATTTTCAAGTTTAAATAATTTTAATTTGTAGTTAACTTGAATATAGATCATTATTTGAGTAGATGATATAATATTTAAAATTAAAAAAAAAAAAAAAAAAAATCAAAATATATATGGTACAGAAATGTATTTATTAAAAATTGAATCATTCCATGTACATAACCTTAAATGAGGTTTAAATTAAGCTCAAATATCACTTAAATAATAATACCATGTTTATTGCTTATTCATATATCCATGTGTCAACAGTTTTTGTCCATGGGACCACTTCTTTTTCAGTGAACCACAAGGCAATTTCTTTGTTGGCAGACTCTACTGCATCAGATCCATGAATAATATTACTGTAAATATAAAAGTGTAAATAAATTACAGGATTATATTAATCAAGCTTGAATTTATATATTTACCGGCCAACTTGGATGCATAAGTCTCCTCTAATTGTACCTGGGTTTGAATTTTTTGGGTCGGTCGCCCCAAGAATAAAACGTCCAGTTTTTACAGCATCTAATCCTTCCCATACCTAAAACAATTTTAGTTTGTAAATGTAATAAATGATAAGAATATAAAATTTACCATAGCGACAACTGGTCCAGATGCCATGTATTTTATAAGACCTGGGAAAAATGATTTGCCAGCCAGATCAGCATAATGATTCTTCAATAGTTCTTCTGATGGCTGTAAACATACAAATGATCATGTTCAATAGCTATTATAAAATAAGTAATATATACTTGTATAAGTTTTATATATTACAAAACCATAAAAGCTTAATGTAATTTGTATCAATGCAGTATAGACTTTAGATCAAATATATTTTAGAGCATAAAATATCTTAAAATTAACAATTAAACTATTAATTATTATTTATTATCTATTATTTAAAAGCCTATCTATGAGGAATGACACAATTATAATTTGTGAGTTTATTAATATGGTTTAAAAGTAATGGTCAGGTAATTATGCCCAACATTATTAATTAGTCTTTAGAAATAGCAGTTCAGATTTAATAAACTGATGCTAAAATACCTTAATAATAAGTCTTTATTTGGATCAGTCCCAAATAGTATTGTTCTTAGTAATGATTAAAGTAATATAAACATAATAATTAGCTTATAGATAAAATTAATATATTTATTATATCTAACCCAAACCAATATGGATGAAAAATATATAAAATAGTGAGAAACTTAATAGACATAATATATTAAATCTTAATGTTAGGTTAAAAAATTCAAAAAGTTACAAAATTTTCGAAAGTTATAGCAAATATAAATATTTCTTAGTCCATCCTAGAATATCCAAAGGTTCAAATATGTTTCACACTTCTTTAGTGCCATACACAAAATTTAATTTACCTCTTTTTTCACATATTTTCACATAATAATGAAAATAATCAAATTATGTTCAAAATAATGATTTACTTAGTTCAACGACTGTTGATGTTGAGCAGTCATTTTCCACTTCCAAAACTATATTTTTAGATAGCTGCAGATCTTTCAAATTCGAAAATATAAGAAAACATTTAATAATCCAGTATATTTTCCAAGGTAAATACCTATATGAAATAATTAAATTTATAAGTACACTTATACAAACATATTTAATTAGCTTAAAATTGTTAACAGTTTATAATTCATTCAGTATAGACAATTCCTGATGAATAAGCTGATTTTTTTTTATATAAAATTGTAAAATTTCATTTCATTTTTTTCTAATTTATAATTTTTTCAAGTTCAATGCATATTTTTGATGTTTCATGGTATTTATAGCACATATTTTGGAATTTTTAAATTCATATTTAGGAGGTAAAAATTAATATTTATATTGCTACTATGTCAGAGCACTGATAATAACAATCAAAATATATGAAATGAGAAAAAAACTGTAATCAAAAGCGGACATATTAAGAATAAATTTGAATGAACCTAACATAAAATTGTTTGCAGCTAGTGGGATATATAATTATTTTGATGCTATGGGAAAATTATTAATACTAGAAAAAAAATATAACCAGACATTTTTGTTCAATTAATATATGTAATTTGACTTAATAACATTTTGTCAATGTTATAAAAATAAAGACAATTCACTTCTTATTGAATCATATTAAAATAGTTGTTAAATAAGAATATATACCTATATAGGAATAAATAAAACAAAGGAAACTTACAAGTATATAATGTTAGATAAGGGATAAAACAAACTGTACAATCTATATATCCGTAATTGACAATTAATAGTGATCTACTCCAGTATTTATCCTTTTGATATTACAGAAAGGTAAATATGTATGTTATTAACAAAATTTCATTTTCTAAACAATACATTGGCACACGAGTAAAGTACAAGATCACAAAAACAGGCAATGCTGGCCTCTCAAAGTGCATCACAAGAAACACCTTAGAGCGGTGCTGCACAGTCATTAACGACATAAAGGTTGAAACAGAGTAGCACTAAGAGATATATCTAAGGTACTCACCCAGAGGAACTTCATGGCCACCAACTTGAATCCCTTGGTCTCGAATCGCTTGATGATCTTGCCAACGAGTCCACGCTGCACGCCGTCAGGCTTGATCATGATGAAAGTACGTTCTGCGTTCGGGTCACCCATGACTAGTCTGATGAGTATTTGAAACGCTGTTAGTATCGTGCAAATGAACATGTAAAACGTGAGAATGCGACCACCGGGATGGTCTAGCTGACGGTCGAAAGAAAACCAAACGGAAGAGAGGAACCAAAAAAAAAAAAAAAAGTTACTATACAAATTAAATAGGAAACGATGGCTATCGTCGCCGATCGTGTGGGAGAAACAACAGAACAGATCGGGTGAAAGTTTCAAAAGACTAAAGCAATAAGAAAAATATGATTGTTTACCACTAACCAGCGATTTATCTTCGGGAAAAGTATATAGGTACTGGTGCAAAGGCTGACCTGAGCGTTTGACAGCGGTCGGCGGAAGATCGGTGCGTCAGGGTTATCTGACGACAAAGTCCAAAATGGCCGTATGTACGTTAAATGCACCCACGGTGGCACTCGTTCGCTTGTGAGGTTATGCTCAGCGATCGCTAATCGAAGTACCGGTAATAAACGCACCACGGTTGCGGTTACTCACCCAGTCACGTAATCGTTCGATAAACGTTATCATTTTTGTAAACAAGACCAACAGATTAGACTATTATTAAGACCGCATGGGTTTTGCATTTTGTTTATTTCATAAATTAGTTTTTACACAGAATAGTTACTATGAATAGCCATAACAACAACGATGACGAGGAGGAAACCAGAGGCAATCTACCGGCATTCAGAGGAATCTGTTGTTTGCCGGCTTCAATTGAGAAAAAAAGTATAAAACCGCATTTGTTTTGTAGTTCTATAACTAACCTTGTCTACTTTTCAGACGTCAACAGTATCGAAATGAAAAACCAATCGGATGCCAAAAGGCAGAATGCATTAGTTGAAAAATGGAAAACATTACAAAACCAAAAATTTGCTATTGCCAATGCACTTAAGGTACCCAGTGGCGTATCCAGGATTCATTTAACGGGGGTGTTTTAAAATTTAATAGACTTATAGTAAGTGGGGGTTCTGCCCCCCCTCTACTCCTTACATTTATAAATACCATGTATTTATATAAATTATTAATTATATTTACATATACTTACGTTTAGTTAAATTATACTGTAATTAAGTTTACAATTTGGTGAAATACCATAAAATACGGTCGTTGGGGGAATGTTCGAACACCTATATCACCTACCCCAAAATGCACCCCTGAAGGTACTTATATACATGATTTTTCATTTATCAACGTGGTTTGGTAATTATAGCATTATGTTCAGGGTCGTAGCAAGGGAACGACGAGAGGTGTCTACGCTCTGGGCGCAATTCCTTAGAGAACGCAAAAATTTTTGTATTTAATGTTAAAAATTACAACGGTCAATGTTGTATATTTTATTTACAAAATCTTTAACATCCTTCATATTAATTAAAGCAATCATTGAAAATAATACTTAATAAGTATCATATTTTTAAATTAAATATACATAAGGGCGCATTTTGAAGTTTAGCTCCAGGTGCAATGTTTGGTTGCTACGTCACTGATTATATTATTTTCACTACCTGGTTCTATTAATTTTAAGACATATCCAATTAAAAAATGTTCAGTAGTTATTTTAATTTAATTTTTTTTATATTAAATAATTTAACTACCAATTTTATATTTACAGATTATTTTTAATATATTTTATAATTTTATTTGATTAACTATTATATAGGTTAATCTAAATAAGTTTTATTAAGAAATAGTTTTTTTTAAATACTGATTAATATTTATGTTATATATTAAGTTCATTATGAATTGATCAAATCAATAAATGTGAAATAACAACAATTTTGTATTTTTAAAATCATTTAGAAATGTTTAAAATTTTATTTCTTTAGGGAGAATCGTCAAACAAAAAAATCAAGTTTGATGAAGATGGTGATCATAAAAATCACGAACAAAATAATTTACAGCCATGTAAAAAAAAATTACCTTTGTTTGATGATGATGATGATTTTAGTGATTCTGAGAATCATGGTAAACTAGTATCGGATTTCAAATTGAAACTACGATTTGAAGGTGAAAAAGGCAAAAAGGTAATATTTTAAAACAGTCTACAATTTTTGTAAATGTTTCTTGTTATTGAACAATTTAAGTTGCAATCTTTATGGATCTAATAATCAACTTAATATTTAACTGTTATTTATTTATTTTTACAGTTGTTTCATATGCAAACATCTAAAGCTACAGGAGATGATCGCTTTGTAATGGATCAGCGATTTTTTGATGAACAAGAAACAAATGAAAAAATGAGTGATGATGAAATAGAAAAACAAATGAATATTTTAGAAGGTGTTGTTGGTCGATCAATTATGAAACCGAAAAAAGATAATGAAGACCGATTGTAAGACTAAGTCATTTTTTAAAATCAAAGTAACTTATTTTGATTAATTTAATTAAAATAGATTACACTTTGAATTCTTTTGGTCTTTAATTTATTATTTTTTTTTTTTTTTATGCAAAATTATAAATAATGAATACTATTTTTATATCTATTACATTATATATTAAAAATTATTAATATTATATTTAGATTCAACATGGTAAGATATGATCCGACACAAGAAGATCATAAAAAATATATTAAAGATAAACCTGATTTACCAAAACAAAAACGTCAAAAAAAAGAAAAAGAAAAAAAAAAGCAAACAATAGTTGTAGCAGAACCAGTTGTTGATACTGATACATATTATAAAGTTGATGATAAATTAAAAGATGTCTTTAGTTCTGAAAACCAATTTAGCTTTACCAGTTTATTTCATAATTCTGAAAAAAGTAAGTTAATGAAAAATTATTAGAAAGTATGATTACATTTTTATTTGAGTATAATAAGATTGTATGAATTCCAATGGTTTAATTAGTTTTAATATAGTTATAAAATCTAATTAATCATTCTTATTCAACAAAACATGTTGTTCTAAATCTACAATAACTCTTCCTAACTTATTTTAAGCATATGTATTAATTATATTTAAATTTATGTTCAGTAATAATATTGTAGATTTTTTAATTTTTAATTTTTATTTATGGAATTAAATTTCAGCAAGAACAATATTATACTTCTACAATAATATATTTGTATTTTTAGGTATTTTGTTATAAAACCAATATTTTTATAAAGATTATATTATACGTTTGGAATTCAATAAAATTAATTTCACTTTTACTTATTTATAGAATAAATTGTTGAATAATTAATAATTTCTTATGAGTTCCTCTTTTTTTTGAAACATTAAATTATCCTAATATTTTATTTATCTATATGAAATTTTTATTGATAACATATAATTTCTAAGTATTAATAATTAATGTTTTAGTTGATAAAGATAACGACAGAAATGAATATCGAGCAGAAAAAATTATTAACTCGCAAAAAAAATTTGGTCGAAATCCATTTAGAGATGACTCAAGTGAGTCTGAAAATGAAGAAACTAATTTTGATGATAAAGAAGAACATAATGATTCCAAAATAGATGAAATACCTTCAGGAAAATTGTTGGGGTCCAGAGGTGTTTGGCGAGACACTTTTTTTTTTAAAATAGATGATTCAAGATTTAAAGGTATCAGTTAATATATTTTATAAATTATATTGACTCAAAATTATAATAATAATTACTTTTATTATTTTAGATGGTGAAGAATTTTATGATCCCCAATACAACAAAATCAATTATACTGGAAGTCTAGATCCAAGGTTTATAAAAAAAAGGGAAATATTAAGAGAATTTTTGAAAAACAAAGATAAAAGACATAAACGTAGTGTAGCCAAAAAGATGTTTAGTAAAAAACTTGGGGGTACTCATAACAATGAAAAAAATCATACTAGAGATAAAAGTAGACTTAGAAAAAGTGACAAGTTAAAAAATATTAAAAAAATAAAATCATAAAAAAATGAATGTTAATATATTTTGTTTATCATATAATTGTTTATTTAAGACTATATGTATCAATGCTTTTAATTATTAAATAATTTTGTACGAATAAATAATATTAGATTTATTTATTTCACACAATGTGTTTAATGATTATATTTGAGTTCTTGAACATTTAACTCATTTTAAAAATCACCACTTATATTACATAAAAGGTACATGTTTACAAGTTTATATAAAGTCTCAATGAACATTTAATTATTTGTTTTAAACAAAATTTTAGTTTTAGCAGCTTCAATATCCTTAATTATTTGTATCTGTTTTTCTTTACCTTATGGTTTTTTTTTTCTTCAGCTTTGTAGTGTAATATCTTGTATTTTTTCATAAAATAATCATTTTTCCATGTTAAATAATATGATTATTGACTAATCCGTCACATAAAAACAACTGATATAAGATAAAGTTTTGTCAACAATCATACACTAGGTATTATCTATACAATCATTTTCGATTATTCAGTACATTTTTATCTTCAAATTACCCAATTGACTTACAAACCAGTTTATACAATGCTCATGTTACAAATTATTTACTGTTGCGAATTGAGATAAAATTATGAACTAGAACTTTTATTTTTATTCCATATTTCTACCACACAATTACTAAATATCAAAGTTACCTACTCAGATAGTTTCATTGAATCCTAGTGTAAATTTTTATGTAATAATATATAATATAAAAATATACATCAAAATAAAATATTACTCAATAGGTATGGATAAAATTAATTAAATTCACTTCATAAAAATGTCCATATAGTTCTTAATGAAAAAATACATTTCATAAAATGGACATCCACTTCATGAAATAAAGGATTACAAGTTTTATTTTTGATAAACTATTTCAAATGCCTATGCTCATAGGCGCAACTACGGTACAAAATCTGGGGAGGCTACAACCCTCCTATCAAAATTTAAAATAACCTGTAGATTACCCCTACTTTTATATACCGTGTTAATATATTTTAGATTCTGAGCCAAGTTGGATTTACTGCAATGTGTCTTTTTTTGTACGTGACACTATTGTTAGTTAAGTATGCAATATGCGATATGTCATATTTAACATGGAATATTTATGAGGGGCTAAATCCCTCCTAGTTGCGCCTATGCCTATGCTGACAATATAGCATCATAATGGTCTTCGAAATCTGAACCAAATAAGTCAACAATTATTCAGTAGCAGTGGCATATTTGCATGAACTATAGGCAAGTGCTTACAGCGAAAAATTTGAATAATGTATTTTGTCATTAGTTATTATCAAAAATTGTATAAATCTTAAGAAATTGTATTTAAGTATCTAAATAAAATTTATATTGTAAACTTATCAAATTAATATATATATAGGTAATATATATAATATAGGTAATTAATTTATAATTCCGCTAGTGTAGTATGTTATTTTAGTTATTTAGAGCGGCAATTTTCCGTAGACCTATACGCGAAAACCGTGTAAATACACCCCTGTTCAGTAGGAATACTAAAATTTTAATATTTAAAGTTGTAAACGGTTTAATCTTGAAAGTTTCCCGTGACACTATAAAATTTACAACCGTCAATCATGGATAAATACGTACTATTAAATTACCTAATTTAGTGACGACAGTCGTAACGTGTTTAAAACGGTGACTTGGAAAAATTTAAAACGTTTTTGAATAGGTACGAAAACTGGAAGGAAAAAATTATTGTTTTCGAATCCAACATTTTTGAACCTAATAAATATCCAGGCTGCTAACTTCTACATACCGGTGTAAATAGCATATTAATATTTAAAAACTCAGAAGTTCGTTGCACTGAAATGAATTGCAAATGTTGTATACATTTTTAATTTATTATGAATGTATTATGTACAAATCTAAGAAAAAAAATATTTTTGTTCTAAATCAAGATTGCCATAAATTTATAAGGCGAAACCGGGACAACACAAACACAATATTGAATAATATACTTTTATATAACTTTTAGTATATTGAGAGGTTAGGTTAGGGCCTTTTTTTAAATGTTATAAAATAATGTTCTTAGTGTGAGTGCGTTAGAAACATAAAAAAAAAAATAATTCCCCTCATACAAAAGTTATATATACACCACTGAAGAGGACTATAAATGTTTGGCAGTATAATATTTAAAAAAAAATTTGTAAAATATTATATAAGTGTAAATTATTATATATTGTTAATCGATTACGATTAAAAATGTATTTTGAGATAAAATGGTCGAAATTGAAAATTAAACAATACTAAAATTCCTTTAAACGTTTAAGCCGGGACATATAGACGTCCCAAAACCATTTTTTCGGGATATCGGGACGCGAATTCCAAAACCGGTGACAATGCCGGTTTTCCGGGACGTATGGCAACCCTATTCTAAATACGAACACAATTGTTACACAATAATACAGTATTGGACAATGGAAAAAACCGATATGGCATTTTGCTAATTGGGTATACTTGCACTATTAATATGATTTAACATCAAAACCTTGTACAATACTATAATGATGCATAGTTATGATTAAATAATTCAAGGACTTCTTGTAGTACCTATGAGCTTGAATATTAGCGTTTGATGTGGAGAATTTAACACATAATATGTGTATATATAAATATTATAGCATATTTACTGTACATAATCGTCGTGGATCATCCTTTGACTTATCTTTAATAATATTAAAAACTAGATACTCGTTTTGAGCGATTATTACAGTTATTAATCGACATTACTGGGGGGAACCTTATCTTTTATAAAATATTTATACCAATACGTAAAATATATAAGTATTTTGACAAAAAATTATTCTATTAATAATAATATTTTAATCCTTGACTGTACATATGTCATGGAAATCTTAATTCGGTAAAATTATAACGTTACAATTACAAGCAAGAAGTGCCTTTTTTTTCTATCTTATAAATCAACAATACACACGACACCTGGAAACGCCGTTAAGCAATGTTTAAGGTGGCGGGAAGCAAGAAATGCCTGTCTGGTTCAAATTTGATTGAAAACAATTTTAATTGTAAATTTGGTGTAAAGTAGTGTACATTAGCAATTTACCCGAATAAAATTAGGAGTAAAATAATAGCACATGGTATCATACCCGATTCATGATCTCGCGGCCCGCTGTGTTCGTACGGTAATGGTTATACAGAGTGAACGCAAGACACTCTCCATATACGTCCATATCTACAAACACGTGGTTGAACAATTTTTAGAAAAAAGTGCTAATTTAATTATCAAACGACCAAAATAGATATTTTACATTATTTTATAATGACATGTGGCGCCTTTTTAGGCTATAATTATACTGCTGCATTTATTAATAATTATAATATGCCGTTTGGGATATTTTTTATTCGACCTAAACGATTATTTCGTTTATAGTTATCGATTGACGAATGTTTATCGGTAAGTAGATGTCGATTATTCGCAGAAGATATCGTTTTGTTAAAAAAAAAAAATCAAAAATAATTTGTCTCCATAATAGCGAAACTAAATTACGTACATAAATGTAAGGAATAAGGAACAGCATGTGCACGCGAGGTGAATGCAAAAAATTATTTATTTTTTATTTCAAAAGCACACCTAAGAGTTCGACACGAACCTGTTTGAAGTACTTCGAGGAACACAATGACAGCATCGAAATCTTAACAATGTCTTATTGAAATTTCGATTTTGAAAATACGGTTCGAACAAAACGCGCTCTTCAGAATAACAATCGCACGCGCGTTCCTTAAGTTGTTCGATGATATTAAGGTCCAAGTCACGATGTACCGAATTTCAAAGGGATCGAGGAAAAAGTTCAGTATGTCGAAAGTTCGAGATTTTCGTTACATCTAGAGATTCGTTCCATCGCGAATTAACCGTGTATGGAAAGCGTACAAGACATCACGGGACGGCGCTGACGAGTTATCATGTTGCACGAGTTGACGCCCGTTTGCGAGCGACACGGAAGGGTTAAATCGGACTTGGGTGCACAGACGTCGTAGTGTAAACGTTGGCATGCACTGCGAATCCTCAATAGCACACGGGTCTATGGATAAAATAGCCTGTTATATAGTGCGACGGATGTCGAAAGTTTCGAGTCGAACGGGATTTGTGTGATTACGAAACGGTCCGGCGAGCTCGTGCGACAATGATGATTATAAAATTTAAATAAAATCACCATGTAAACCGATCGTTTCGCTTTCTTCGTGTTTGGTACGATCTGATACCGATTTAGAACATTGTGTATTTGCGTTTTGTTTTGCCCGAGAAACCAAAATAATAATTTGTTTTACATCGTAGACTTGAACGCGGTTTGAAGCGAATTCAACGGGATCGAGGTGTGAGGTGCTCAGAAAAAACCATAATTTTAAGTTGTTGAACGTTATACAAAGATGCTCGAGGGAATGATTTTCAAATACGTTTAAGTCGAATATTACCTAAGCAGAATCAATTCGAAAGAAAAAATATCCCTGCGGTTCGCGTATTCGGCTTGCGCTTTTGTTCGTCCAAGTTCGTTAAAAAAAAACGGTTAAATTTAAAGTTGCTTCCCTCGTTTAAACGACGTCAAAGACATTTACGTTTTCGGCTAAATATTGATAAATATTATTCAGAAAAGATGCACTACAATATTTTGTAATACGCCACAGAGATTCGATTGAAAATTAAAAATAATACGTTCCCGAAATGTCTACTTTTTACGGAAGCTTTTGTTTTATAAATAACCGTGGAAAACTGCTCACGTTTGTTTCGATTATAAACGATATTAATTAATTTGCAGACTAAGTATTTACACGTAATCAATTCGAAATCTTCGGTATTTCAAATATGTGATGCACAAATGTCTATATTCATTGAGAACAAACGGATTTGTATTTTCCGATACTTGATTTTCCGTGATAATTATGTGACGAGCTCCATCGAGATATAGTAATCCAATTTCTGAAATTGCGTGGAAAAAGTTTTAACGCTTTAGTACCGCTTTTTCCAACACCGAGAAACGGCTAACGTCTTGTCCGTCGCGAAATCGTTCGTAAATAAGAGCTATCGGAAGTTGTACGTATCAAATTTATTCGAAATACATTTCCAAAAGCGGTTCGAATGATTGTGGTACAGGTCGTATGGACGGAGGGAAATCGATTGGTAAACATTTTTGGGGAAAACGATAGAAGAAAAGCACGATAAAAATCGGACGCAGAGACACCAATCACCGCGTCACCCTGTATACACGCGTCCGGCTGGTCTCGTCGAATGTTCTAGAAGATTCTCGGCGTTTGTTCCGCCGGAAGAAAACGCAAGTGGGCACTGCGTTGGTCAAAGTGCACGTTTATCGGTCGACGGCCGCGGTACCGTTCGCGCGTCCCGAACCGGTGCGTAACGCACGGACGCAACGCACCAAGCGGCCCGTGTTACGAGCACGGCCGCGCACCGTTCGCCGTTTGCCGCGCCACGTGCTCGGCCGCACCGCGTCCCGGTCTGTTTTGACTAACGCGCTCCGTATTCGCTACCCGTAGAACGTTCTCGAAACGGCCGCCCGGCGCTCGACAGGTTATAAATACCGTCCGCTCCGCGCCAGAGTTCGTCATTTCGAGTTTGTTCTGCAATTACATTGCGCGCACAACACTGTTGCGGTTGCTGTTCAATCATCCTCAGCGTGTACACTCACGATTTGCGTTAATTTGTTGTCTACAATCTACCAGCTAACTTCTAATCAATAACCGTAAGTTATTACCTATCTAGTTTATCTTATTTTGTTTTTTTTTTTTTTTTTAATAAAATCCAAATTTCATTTAATTTTCAAATAATTCGTTTAATTAAACATAGTTTTTCACTCTGAACTCGTTTTATTTCATTTGTGCTTAATTTTTCCGTAGTGGTACATTGAAGTTGATCAATTTTAATTAAAGCATTTTTTTTATATTTAAATTATTATCTATTGTAAATATTTGAACTCGTCAACTTTGGGTATTATATTTTTTTAATAATTTATTATTTAATTATATATACAATTATAAATTTATAGTAAACAATTTTATTATTTAATAATTATACTTGTTTTATTATTTCTTATATTTCTCTTTCAATTAAAATTTTTTTAAATTTTAAGTAGATGTGAATTAATGTGAAATTGGGATATTGTGTGTAACCTAATGCTTTAGAATTTTATCTGGTATAACAGTCACTAAATCAGATTGAATAATTTTATTAAATTTTATTAGTTCTAAATTTATATAGATTAGGTGCCTATTAATTAACTAATTAAAATTTTTATTATTATTATATTGTTTAGTATATTATTTTCATCCCTATATTTAGATGCCAGACGTAAACATGGCACCAGCTGATGATGTTGAGACCTTTGCATTTCAAGCTGAAATTGCTCAGCTTATGTCTCTCATCATCAATACATTTTATTCAAACAAAGAAATCTTTTTGAGAGAATTGGTATCCAACTCTTCTGATGCATTGGACAAAATCCGTTATGAGTCTTTGACTGATCCTTCCAAATTGGAATCTGGCAAGGACCTCCACATTAAAATCATTCCAAATCAAGAAGAAAAAACTTTGACTATTATTGACACGTATGTATTAAAGCTAAATTTTCTTAAAAAATGTACTATTATTTTATTGATTTTTTTTTTTTCTGTAGTGGTATTGGTATGACCAAAGCTGATCTTGTCAATAATCTGGGAACCATTGCTAAGTCTGGTACTAAAGCATTCATGGAAGCTTTACAAGCTGGAGCTGATATTTCTATGATTGGTCAATTTGGTGTTGGATTCTACTCTGCATACTTGGTAGCTGATAAAGTTACTGTTATATCTAAGCATAACGATGATGAACAGTACTTATGGGAGTCAGCTGCTGGAGGTTCATTTACAATCCGTACTGATCCTGGTGAACCATTAGGCCGTGGTACCAAAATAATCCTCCAAATCAAAGAGGACCAAGCTGAATTCCTTCAACAAGAAAAAATCACTGGTATCATTAAGAAGCATTCTCAATTCATTGGTTATCCTATTAAGTTGATTGTTCAAAATGAACGTGAGAAAGAAGTAAGTGATGATGAAGCTGAAGAAGAAAAGAAGGAAGATGGTGAAGGTGAAAAAGAAGAAGATAAGAAGCCCAAGATTGAAGATGTTGGTGAAGATGAAGACGAAGACAAAAAAGATGAAGATAAAGACAAAAAGAAAAAGAAAACCATTAAGGAAAAATACTTGGATGAAGAAGTTTTAAATAAGACAAAACCCATCTGGACTCGTAACCCTGATGATATCAGCCAAGACGAATATGGTGAATTCTACAAATCGCTGACCAACGACTGGGAAGATCATTTAGCTGTTAAGCATTTCTCAGTTGAAGGTCAACTTGAATTTAGAGCACTGTTATTCATTCCCAAACGTGCGCCTTATGATATGTTTGAGAATAAGAAGAAGAAGAACAACATTAAGTTATATGTTCGTCGTGTATTCATTATGGATAACTGTGAAGACCTCATGCCAGAATACTTGAACTTCATTAAGGGTGTTGTTGATAGTGAAGATTTACCTTTGAACATATCTCGTGAAATGCTCCAACAAAACAAGATTTTGAAAGTCATTAGGAAAAATTTGGTCAAGAAATGTTTAGAACTTTTCGAAGAGTTGGCTGAAGATAAGGACAACTACAAAAAGTTATATGAACAATTCAGCAAGAACTTGAAACTTGGAATTCATGAAGATACACAAAACAGAAAGAAACTTGCTGACTTGTTGAGATTCCATACCTCTGCTAGTGGTGATGAAGCATGCTCTTTTAAGGATTATGTTGCACGTATGAAGCCAAATCAAACTCACATATACTATATTACTGGTGAAAGTCGTGAACACGTGTCTAACTCTTCATTTGTGGAACGTGTTAAGAAGCGTGGTTTTGAGGTTGTTTACATGACTGAGCCCATTGATGAATATGTTGTACAACAGATGAAAGAATATGATGGCAAGAACTTGGTATCTGTTACCAAGGAAGGATTAGACCTGCCTGAAACTGATGAAGAAAAGAAGAAGCGTGAAGAAGACCAAGCTAAATTTGAAAAATTGTGTAAAGTTGTCAAGGATATTTTGGACAAGAAAGTTGAAAAAGTTGTTATAAGTAACAGGTTGGTTGAATCTCCTTGTTGTATTGTAACATCTCAATATGGTTGGACTGCCAACATGGAACGTATCATGAAAGCTCAAGCACTAAGAGATTCTTCCACTATGGGTTACATGTCTGCAAAGAAACACTTGGAAATCAACCCTGATCATCCAATTATTGAAACATTAAGACAGAAGGCAGATGCTGATTCCAATGACAAAGCTGTCCGAGACTTGGTTATGTTGTTGTTTGAAACAAGTTTGTTATCTTCTGGTTTTGGACTTGAAGACCCGCAAGTTCATGCTTCTAGAATCCACAGAATGATTAAATTAGGCTTGGGTATTGATGAAGATTTGCCTGTATCAGAAGAAAAATCTGCTGATTCAGATACTGCAACTCCCATAGAGACAGATGATGTAGAAGATTCATCACGCATGGAGGAAGTTGATTAAATTTATACTCATTAAAAATTAATCAACTTTGAAAGAACAACCATTTCCTATATTTTTACTGTTATATTATTTTGAGACTGATTTGTCTATTTTTTTTTTTTTTTGTATTCAAATTTATTCTGAATTAAATCTATTGTATAGCAATTTAATTTGAATATAGGTTCATAAACTTCTTTAAATATTTGCACCCACCACTATGTGTATGCTGTGTGTAAGCTTGAAATATTGTATGTTGTTATATGTAATGAATATGGAATAATTATTATACAGAATAATTTTTGTATATAATAACTTTGTTTTTTTTCTCTATCAATCCTTAATTATTGAAGTGTAAATTGCAGGTATGCTAAGTATTTATGAATTGACATTTAGGAATTCTTTTAGTTAAGTGAAAAGCTAGAAAGATCAAAATATTGATTCTATTGTTAGTAATTGATACATTTAATTTATTAAATACATATCTACTCTGATATACAAATCTGGAATTGATAGTGATCTTAATTACATAAATGAATGTATCAAATTGAGAATTTTGAGAACAGCTATAATGTAGGATCAAAAGACAATATTTATTGAACAATAGCTGTTTTATAATATTCTACAATGTTTCAAAATAAATTAAGAACTTGAATAAAAAATAAACTTATTTTTATAATAAAAGCTATTATTTGATATTAAAATATAAACAAAATGTATTGAGGCCTGAACAAGCGTCATAACATTTAAATATTAATTTCATGTATCAATAGATCGATTGTCACCAGTAGAATGTTGGTAATAAAAATTAAAAATAAACATGTAAAATCTCCTAATACAACAAAAAGTAATACAAATGATAGAAAATTGTTGATGATAGTTTATGATGAAAAACAGAAAGGAGTTGATATAATTTAGGAATTAGGATATAGTTAATTATATTATTTATAAAATATGTTTGTTTAAAATAATTTAGTTTGACATTGTGTATGAGAAGATTATCAAGGACAGTATTAATTTGCTGTGAACAATGAGATATATCTATATTGAAATAAATAAATAAAAGTTTAGCCTGGAATATTATTATATTTGTAAAGTATGACTGGGGTTAAATAAGAAATCAGGTATATACAAAGTAAATAAAATTGCGACTGAATAAAATAAAATAAAATCACATTACATATATATGTATGTATATCATGTATGTGTTCTTTCCTTTATTTTTCATATATTGTCGCAATTTATTAATTTCGATGATTATGTAACCTGATAATGAATTTTTAATTCAAAACCGGTTGTACTTCACAAATGTAATACTTCAGACTAAGATTCTATTTATTTCTTATTCTATGTATAAGTATTTGTTTATTATTTATGAGTATTAACCATTTGTTAATTTTTTTATTATTTTATTGCACTTATTTTGTTATACATGTTTGTTGTCATTTGGTTTTGAATGTGTTTTTTTAAAGTTTGCTTTCAGCAATATGTTTTTTTTGTCTTGTTTTAAAGTTTGTATCAGTTTTATCTACATAGAACTTAATACAATTACACCAATTACCAACATCAAACAACCAGTGATTTTTATTTTATATCTATTGGAATTTTGTTATTGAAAATTTTGTTAATGATTTTTACTAAATTATTAAACATTTCAAAGACAATTTTTAGATTATTGTTATTTTAATACACTATTTTCCAAATTTATATGTCAATTAACTATTATAAATTAATTCATAGTAATTGGAATCATTTTTAGTGTATGACATATAAATGTTGTTTTGTTAAAAGTTTTATCTTTACTTTTTTATACGTTTTGTTGATAGTATCTGAGTTGTTGTTTATTGCTATGTTGAATATAATTTTTAATTATTTTAATACTCAATTAAAAATAAATAGGATTTCAGGTAAATTTAAATAATGTTGAGATTAAGGTAAGTTTTTTTTATGATAAGGGATGATTTGAGTTAAATGGAAAAATTGTTTTTTTGAGTTGATGTTTTGAATTTAATATTGTTATTCAGATTATAAATATTGTGAGATCTTGAAAATTTACTTGATAATTACGATTGTTTAATTTTATATTAATTATATTTAACTGTAATACGATATAGTTAGGGCCTAGGCCAAAACAATTAGTCAATATTTAAATTTGTGTAATACTCAGACCCTCACAATTACATTTTATTATATTGTACACAATAGCTTTAATTATGAATGAAACGGGTATTTAACAACCTAATTTTTTTTAGTAAATTTACTTTTATAATTTATAAAATTGTACAATATAAATCAAAAACTTTTATAAAAACATAAACAATTTTATTCAACTGAATGGTTTTGTACAAAAATAGATTCCAAATATTTGAAATTATGTCAAGAGTTTTCTGCATCTTTGAATCTGAAAAAAAAAATATTATGTTAAATAATAATTATATATAAAATATATTTTAATTAGAGATGAACGAAGCTCTTACTTGCATTTAAGGCAGGTATAAAATACAGTTTGTCCTTCATCAGCTGACCTTAGTTGTACAGCTGCATAGGACATCTGGTTATGACCACAAGCATTACACCTTCTTTCAGCAATTGGACCGTCCTCAATTTCACCTTTATTATGCTCAGTTTTAACAACATTATCAATATCTTCTACAGAGTTCAAAATAATTTCATATGTAGACTCTGAATTCCCATAAACTAAAAGAAAAAAATTATTATTATTATTACATTTAAAAATAAAAATTATATGAATCATAAAGTACAATATATATTTTCCTAAAATACTATTTCATTTTTTTGTACATGCTAAATTTTTTAAAGCTAAATTACATATCAATTTACACTAGTAATATTTATTGGGAATTAATTATTCAACGAAACAAAATACTCAAAAATGTAATAGTATAGTATATATAAAAAAAAGAGATATTAAACAGTGATTATACCATACACTAAAATGTTATTTTAAAATAATAAAATACCATATATATGCTATAAGTTATACATTTTAAATAAAAATAAATTTAAGTTCATAATTTATAAACATTTTTAGTTATTTATATCATGTTAGTAGCTACTTGATACAGACTGATAATTAATGTATATTTAAAAAGTGTAGTTATAGGAGAAAACAATTATAAAATCATCAGTAACCAAACAATACAGAAATATTGTAATCGAAATATTTTATAAATTTAATAAGAAGTTAAGTAAGTGAAATAGTATTGAATATAAAAAAATAATCTCCACAATAATGTCCACCTCCAACCCTTCAGAAATTAAGTATGAAATTGTTATTTAGTAGTTTACTGTTTTCTATAGCCATGATAGTTTAATTATTTCTTAAAAATAAATAGCTTTAATTCAAGTGGCAACAAATATGCTCTTTGTTTTAAGTATATAATCATAATACAACCAAGATAAGACAATTGATCATGCGTACAAACAGATAGGGTTCATAAACATTGCATACATTTAAGCACTAGGTAGATAATTATTTCTTGGCAATTCTTTTATGAATAAAAACAGTAATTTGTCGCTGCTTTGGTCATAATCTTATCTTGGTTGTAGATAATAAGTTTTATCTGAAATTGAACTGAAATAAACTATGGTAATTAATATATTTTTTTAATAACTAGATAGTTTAGTAGGTACTACTTGTATACTTACTTTCTGGTCCAAAAACAGTTTTACAAGAATAACATTTCACAAATTCTTCCATGTTCAATGCCGGTAGTATTGAACCGCACTTGGTGCAAAACCCGGGATATGTTTCGATGTTTTTGATCAGTTCCATTTTATTCGACCAGTCTACAACAGTAGCAATTTGTGTTAAAACACTTACTGAGCTATAAAATAATATTTGAAAGATTGTAATGTACAAATCTTGTTTGTGAAAAATATAGAGATACAAAAAAAGTAATGGGCATTATCATTGATCATAAATACAACAGATCGGTAAACGAGTTGCGCGAAAAACAGATATACATATGTACGATACTCTCAACCATCGAGCGTGCAACGTGCGTGAAATGTATTCGTAACTTACGGACATAACCTCGAAACGACGGCAACGTCCGCGCCCATTGACCGTGTACGCCATCAGCACCGTCATCAACCGCAACAAGCGTTATCGCACGTAATCGATTGATGAATCATTCGCGCGCGTACGAAAAATATTATGATTCATGCGCACGCACGTAAGGTAAACACTCACATACGCGCGCGATTATTGTGATAATATTGTGTCATAACAACTCTTCCGACCCCTTCACCGTCAGTCGTTACCCAGTCACATCAGCAGCTGTTCCGTTGTCCGTGTCGTCGTTGTTTTCGTTGGTTTTCTGTTTTCCACCGCGGTTCCTGTGACCAAAGGTTTATAGCCGCGAGTCGTCCCGTCTTCGTCTTCGCACTACGACGTCCGTTCAGTCGTCTTTTGCGGACCCCATGTACCCTCAGATGGACAAAAACGCTGGGCTGGCGCCGACAGCCCCGCCGTCTTACTCGGAATCCATTAACGGACCTCCAATGTACAACGGCAGTGTCCCTCAGTATCAGCCGCCGCCGCCGCAGTACGCTCAACAGCCTAATCAACAACAGCCCGCTCAAGTCATTGTCGTCCAAGCGACGCCTCCTAGTAAGTGTAACCGGGCGTGCATGCCCTTACATCCAGTGATATTATGATCTGATCGTGATGTCACGGGGTTGAGCAACAGGTCTAAAATCAACGTAGCTTCCCTCACTCCTGTTGTAGGTTGATACGGTTGAGTACGTCGACACCGCGTAACGTATATGAATTCCCACTTTCGGGAAAAACGGACCAGGAAATTGTGGTTACATACAAGTGAAACAGTAACGCAAGAGTTCGGTTATAAAATATAATAATGTTTGTTTGTTTTCGAGTCGTGTAATGAAAATTAAGTTTACATATATTGTTTGTTTGGTTGTTCAGCTATAATATGACTGACTCCTTGACACTGTTGGTTGTGACTGTAGACCTAGTATGTAAAGAAATGCCCATCCAATATTAGTTAATCCACCATGTAATTAATACTAATACTGTTAATAATAATAATAACATAATAAGCATTTTGCGCTTACAACACTCCCATTAAGGTGAATGTCCATATCTTGGTTACGATTTACATATTGTCAGATATTCATAGCATGTTTTTGTACGGGCTTCCACACGTTTGTCCATTGTATATCTTCAAAAATCGAGCAAATTCTGTTAAATCTAGTATCAAAAATATAATATCTAACAGTTTGAATTGGAGAACACTCAAATTTTTAATCATTAGTTGAATAAATTATTAGTGCGAGGAAATGTAAATTTATCAATGAAAAATTGCACTCAGTTTTTAGACCAAAAATCATCTGATTATAGGGATATTAGGATATTATTTTTTAATGAAATTGTGTTTTCAAAATGTAATTTGCCTCTACACCATTACCTATTTGGTTAGAATTTAAAAAAATGTATAATATTGTTTCGTCATACCATCATTTATATAACCAAAATCATTGAATTATCTATGATACACAGTGATTGAATGAATGTTAATTCTAAAACATTTAATCAGAATTGTATACTAATATGTGTTCAAATATAGATATCTGGTCTTAAAAAATTTGCAAATGATTTAAAAACTATACCATTTAAATTTTGGATAGTCCTTGAGTTGTTGCAATATCTTCATATTATAATATTTATTGAATTTTTAGTGTAATAAAAATGTTTGTAATTGTTTTATCAATTGACTTGTATAAAATTTCTACATATACCTAAGGTAATACTAAAAACATATTGAAAAATATAAATCTTCACAATCATGCGAAATCAGTTCGATCAAAGTAGAAAAAATATAAAAATAAAAAAACAAAACTGAACCCTATGATTGTGCCTTGCTGCCTGTAAGTGTTTATTTATATAATTTGTTTTTAAATTTAATGTTTTGATATTTAACTAGGTACTGTTTTATTATTATTACTGTAATTGTCTATCATAGTTGGACATTGGTCAAATAAAATTGTATTCGATTAATTATTTGAATAAAAAACTAGTCTTTATTTATTATTCTACGAATTATTCTAATTTTTTTTTAATCATTATTTGATTATTCATTATTCATTCATTATAATTAATAAAAAAATATTCACATAATGGTGTTTATCTCAAATGGCTCAAAGATAACTTAAAATTTGAACCTTATTGAAAATTGAAATTTATGTGTTTCATATTTATTATTATTATGGTATTTGCTATCAAAAATGTCAAAAAAAAGTCATAAATTATAATGTTATAGATAAGGAGCTAATCTAACTGGTTTAGAACTCAACATGTTATGTACTTGCACATTGGGCTGGGCGGTCTGCGTTTGGATGAAATGCCTTTTTACCCGTATAATAAAAGTAATGCGTTTGGGCGAGTTTTTTTATGTGTTTGAGCGAGACAAAGATAAAATTGTAAAGATTATGATAAAAATATTATTATATAGGGAATTTTATATCAACCTAAATATGATGGTACAGTCTTATTACTATTATAGGTAACTATAATATTTTTAATTATCAGTTTGTTTGAATATGGAAAAGTGAAGTTGTATTATAGCAGAAGCGTACCCAGGAATTTTTTATAGGGAGGGGGGCAAAATTTTTATTTTTATCTGTTCACTAATTATAACTATAGTTTAACTCAATACCAAAAAATTACTGTTAGTATACTATAGTATGGTTTTATACCAGGGGCGGCCAAATGGTCAATCGCAGACGATTTCAGAGTCGAACATGTGAGAATTTATTTTTGGGCCACGTGCACGAAAATTAATCGTGGTGGTTATGAAAAAATTGTTGATAAGTTTTATGTGTATAGTTTTTATCTTTTATTATGATTTATAAAAAAATTTTCCAAGAAAGTCGATCTTCAAAGGTGAAGTATATTTTTAGTAGATTGTGGCCGAAAAAAGTTTGGCTGCTTCTGGTTTATACATTATAGGTATATTATATAATCTATAAACTTTGTATATTGAAGATAATAGGAAATTAAAATACACTATATACTATTATACTATTTAATATTAAATCGTGAGTAAGTAGAAATTTCAATGGGGGGTCAGGACCTGAATTCCCCCTTGGGTACGCCCTTGTATTATAGTGTTAGTTAATATTATGGATCTTAAAATTGATTATATTTTTAATACAAAACAAAATAAATGATGGATTTCAATTTAAAATTATATTTTTAGTGAATTTTAACATTGAAAATAGAATAATAAGTATTTTAGCATCCCAGGATATTAAAAATAAGGTCGCCCAAATGCATTACAATGTTTTAAAATCACTCGCCCAAACGCATTATGCTAAATTGCCCAAACACATTGTAATTTTTAAAAATTCGGCTAAACGCATTACGCCCCACTGGGCTTTATATTACTGTGAATATTATTCACAATTAATTTAATTAATTTATTAGAGTAATTTATTTATTCACATGTTAAATTCTTCATAATAATTTTTATTTTTTGTTCATAACTAATATTTTTTAAAACAAAATATTATTCTTTATTTTATTATTATTATATTATTATTATATATTATTTTATTCACAAAATAATCAGTTATTATTGCTTTTAATTCTTTTAGTTTAAATACTTTTAAAAAAAAGTAGAAATTGATAATAAAATACATTGTTTTTTTACTGGTGAAGCAAATATTATACATGTTGCCTAGTTTATCTTAAAGTTTGAGTGCGTCCACGGAACATGTCAACGAAAGTTCCTCAATTACCGTCGGCTGGCGTTTACTTAATTCCTGTTATATTATCTTATTACTTACTTCATTTTAATTTATATATGTTAAGGTGCATGACCGCAATAGACGAATGTTGACAATCACCGGTGTATGTTTACATTTACCAAAAATCTTTATTATTTGAATCTTTTAATTTTATTTCTTTGAATATTAATTAGGTGGTTGTTTGAGAGACAGATATAATATAATTTTAAGTAAAATATTTACTATAATTTTAAAAAAAGATCAAGTTTGATCAGTTCGTTATAATTGTATGTCTATTATTTTATTCATTAAATAATTGAATAAACATTTTAAATGTTTTTGGATATTTTTGTGATATATATATATATATATATATATATATATATATATATATATATTATAATATTATAATATTATATTATTTCAGTTCCACCATTAGGTCAACGTTCAGTAAATGTAACATGCCCATCATGTAAATCATTGGTGATGTCGACTGTGGAAGAAACTACATCTAGTAAAGCATATATATGTTGCATGTTGATGTGTATTTTTGGGTATGATAAAAAATAAAATAAAATGTTAAATAAATTTGAAAAAAAATATTCATTATATCTTTTGTTTTTCAGGATGTGTGCTTGTTCTTATTTGCCATTTTGCATGGACAGCTTTATGAACTACAAACATACATGTCCCAGGTGCAAAGCGTTTTTTGGTGTATACCAACCATGAGCAAACAAAATTATTTATTAACTATATAAAAAATGTATTGCTTTAAGAAGATTCCTCTTTTACATTTCCATTATACCTACTTTATTCATTTAGTTTATAAACTATGAACTATTCAGCAGTTATTTTACTGGAACATTTTGAATTTTACTATCTATATTTATTTCATTTTATTCTAAAATAAAGAATAAAATATAAAACATTTTCACAATGTTTTGGTAATTTTTGGCAATAAGGATTGATTTATATTTTCTTTATTTTTACCATTAATAATTTAAATGTACCTTTCATTATTTACTAGTAGAAAAAAAATTTACATCATATTTTATGTAAGTGGTAATAATTAATTTAATTATAAGAAATATATTTTATTGTTGGGTGTCAATTAATTATTACATATTTCATGGCAAAAAATGATCAATTTTCTATTTTTTTTTTTTAATCTAGTAAACTTATATTTTATCCATAAAAATGTCTTCCATTTTATTTCATTAAAATCAAATTTTATTATGTAAATTAAACATTATAAATGTTTGAAATGATAAATTTAGTTGAGAGATTAATATTCTTGCCACAGTTATTACACATCACTTTCTTGTTTAACTGTTAAAAATTGTTGCTTACAAACTCTAAAAAAAAAAATACTACATTAGTAAGGGTACCTATTTCATTGTTATTTTTTGATATAATAATATATTGATTAATTATCTTGATTAAGAAATTTATCAAAATGAAAAAAAAAAGTATGAAACTAATTTTATATTTAGGATCAATTTTGTTTTTTTCATGCCATACCATAAACTTGATAATTATGAATTTATTTGAATTTAAATCAGAAGTTTTGAAATGTACCTAAATATTATTATTGTTTTAAAATAAATTCCTTGTGTATTTATTTTGTATAGTACCAAAATATTTTTATAGTTTATAATAATTGTTATACTATTATTCAATATTATAATAATAATAATAATATAATAGTTAATTATGTATATTTTACTCGAACAATCTATGGGAAATGTGAACATGTAGTAAAAACCATTATTTTCAGTTTAAATAGCTTAAACTTGAATTATTCATTGTTTAACTTAGATGCCTGTATTAAATTGTAAACAATACTATACTCATATTCTTTAGTTTGTTTAAAATTATGTGATTTGATTTTTATGTATTTTTTATATGTTAGAATTTCTTTTCCAAATAGATGTTAGAATTTCTAATTCTATATTAGCTGAAAAATTGTATTAATTTGTTAGTGATCATTTTTAAAACAAGTTGGAAATTTACGCCACTGAATATATGTATAGTACAGACTAGATATACACCTATAATATCACGCGCCTTCTGCGTACATCATGATACGTGACTGTGTGCTGTAGTTTGGAAAACCTAGTTGGATAGAAATAATAAGAACAGAAAATAAAATTATTTCAGAAGTTTGGATGGAAAATGTCTATTTATATAATTAGTATACTTTGCCATACGTATAATATATTAATAAGCAATTAATAATAAAGCCGGGTTCATATGGAGTCGTAAACTGGGCGAGAATACTACTGATTCTGTGCATGTCTCACGACTGCTTGAATTGCACGACGGATAATTTATGAACCCCAGTTCACACATATCAATTGCAGATGCTTCTGATTTTTTAGTTATTTATTTTTTTTCAATTCTTGATAATAAACTGATATAATATTTTTAATCTTTCGAACTATTTCATGAATACCAAAACCATCGATACCCATTTAATCATATATTTTTTTTTAACGCTCCATCTCTTGTATCTGTGTCTTTGTACACTTCAGAATTTATTTTCCACAAGAATTACGCATCGCAATACAAATCAACAAATTGAATTGTTTGTTTTGTATTAATTTTGTACACTGACATTACGCTGACGTAGTAAATGTTTTTATTATATAAAAATAAAATGATTTTTGACTAAACGGGTCGTGTTCACTGCAACATGCCGGAGTAATCACGACCGATCTATTTTTGGTCGTTGACGACTTCTACTACTATGATTACCAGTTCACACCAGGTAGTGATCACGACCAACCTTCCTAATAGTAGTATTCTCACCTAGCTTACGACTCCGTGCTAATTTTATATGCTAAGTACGTATAAAATAAGTGTTAGTGATAAGATAAATACATTGAACATTAAATGTATCAGTACATTCATACAAAGTTTTGATTGTTCCAAAGGTACACGATTAGTTACCAATTATAGTTAAAATCATTATTTGTGTTATGTAAATATCTCGATTAAAAACTAAGCGTCTACTGCTAAGTAAATTCGATTTAAACTAGAGATATAATGTATATTCGAATATCAGTATTCAACCTATTATTAACGTTTAGTGTTGCGCGAAAACCTACAAAAATAATTTTTTTTAGGTACGTATTGTATCAAATACTGATGTTCAAATGGTCGAATATTCAAATATTCGAATACTCGAATATTCCCATCACTGATTTAAACACAATTAGATATTAAACAAAATGTTTATTATAAATAGTCAATCAGAATTAACAAAACCAAAAAGAGTTAGTAATTTCTTAATAATTTCTTCTACTATTATTTTTTTCTTTCGTCATTGTATACAATATTGTAATTCTCAACTTCGATTTCAGATGATTATTTCCATTTCATTTTCTAATCGTATATTTTTCAATTTTAAATATTTAAATGCCCTAAAAATAGGAAATATTAATAACTATTGACTGTATATATATGTTAGGTACGGGTAATGTTAAAATTTGTATAATGTTGACATTATCCGGCTAAAGTCGACATTAGCCATCTGTTATGGCTAATGTGTAATTTTTCGTTTATAAGCAGGAATTATTAACATTATCCGGATAATGTTAACTTTAATCAGTCAATATTGGATAATGTTAAAAGTTGTATATTAAACATACTATATAGTTTTTATTAGCATTCTATACAATAATAAAGCGTCGGACTTCCAGAGAATAATATCTTGACTTGCAGTGGCGAAGCGTCATAGGAGACAATGAGACAATGTCTACCCACTTATCCATGGATACATAATTTGGCGTTATTATATTTTATTTATTTTTAAATAATATATACTTCAATATTTATCATAGTTTTACTTTTGTGCCATACCGTATTAGTATTCTTAAAATAGATTAGTTGTGGACCGTGCACGCGAGCTGTCGTCCGTTGTGATGTAGTGGTTAATTCTATTAACATCCAAATACAGATATAAAAATTAATATTATGAGACGATGCGTTGCAGCGTCTCGTTTTTCAAGGCACGGTGTGCAGGTGGAATAAGTTATATATGGGTTTAATATTTATCTTGTATGATATTGTTTGTTATAATTTTATATGCGCTACACAAAATACGACGTCATGCATCGATCTGTTGTTAGTCTGCTTTCAGTTTTCATACGTGATAATTGTAAGTAGGTACAGTGTTATTAGTGTTTTAACTGTTAAGTGTTTTAGATTTCATTTTTAATAAAATGGCGTAGCTTCCTTTAGTCGAAGAATTGATTTAGTTTTGCGCCAGAGAGAGCCGTTTTTTAGTGATAGATTTTGTAGATAGTTTTTATATGAGTCATTTTTGTGTATTTTTAGCAGTGATTTAAGTTTGTTTGAAAGCATGTTGTATCTTGTTTTGTCATCTGGGTAGTGGGTTCGCTGCCAGGTAGACCTTGCTCGACGTTTCTCAGCTAATAATTGCCTTAGCACTGGGGTTAAATTGTTAGTTGGGTTCTTGCTTGGTCTCTGGGTTGAAGAGTCTTTAGCTGCATTTTGTATATTGTTGGTAAGTAAATTGATTGCGCTGTCAATATCAGCTGACGATTTTAACTTAATATTAAGTATAGTTTTTTTTGAAAGAATATTTCTGAATGTGTTCCAGTTTGTGATTCCAGGAGTGATGGTTGGTCGATTTTGTTTCAATAGGGGTTGTGCTCCTATGTGAAGAAGAACTGGGGTATGATCAGACGCTGGATCGTTTAGATTTGTAACGTGTGTAATAAAACGATTTGGCATGTTAGAGATGAAGAAATCAATGGTGTCTGGATGATGATTAGCATGAGTTGGCCAATAAGTCGGAGTGGTGCTTGATAATAGTTTGAGATGTTTTTGTGTAACGAGGTTGTGTAGCGCGCGGCCCCGGGTGTTGGTGGAATTGCTCCAGGTTTGGTGTTTAGCATTGAAATCCGCGCCTATAATATAACTATGACTGAGAGATTGAAGAAGAATGATGAGTTCAGGTATAGGAAATGGTATTCCTGGGGGGAAGTAACAGGATGCTATAGATATAGGTACCGAGTTTATTTTTAAGGTTGTACTAGCTGATTGGATATTGATGCTCCTATGTGGTGGCAGGGGGGGAGTGTTCAATTCGGTTTGAGATTATAAGTGCAGCTTCACCATGCGCTGTTCCGTCTGGGTGATCTGCTCTAATTATTTCATATCCGTATATTTTGAGTATAGAAGATTTTGTAAGATGAGTTTCAGAAATAAGTGCGATTTCGATTTTTTTTTTCATTGAGTACGATTTTGAGTTCATTCAGGTGTAGGGGGATACCGTTGGCATTCCATAAGAATATGGTAAGTGGTTTTATGTTGTTAGTTGACATTTTTAATGAGTTTTTCTATGACAGTGGTAAGTAGTGACACAAGTGGATTGATTAGCGCTTTTAGATCATTTATAAATAAAGACAGTTGAGTTGTGAGGTCTTGGTTTTGATTTGGGTTGTTAGTTTGGGGTTGAGGAGAAGATTCTTTATTCAGTGGAGGAAAACTCTGTGAGTATGTTGGACGATGAAGATCTTGGTTAATACCTTTTGAGGTTTGTTGGTTATTGTTCCTGGTGTTGTTTTTAGATTGTGCTAATTTTTTTTTCAAGTCAATGTGAGTTTTGCACCTTTTATAGTTAGTCGGGTGACTACCGTTGCATAATGCACTATTAGCAGGGGTGCTCCGGTCCTTAGTGCAATCTATTGATTCATGTTCTAAGCCACATTTAACACAACGAGGAGCGTGATTGCAATATTTGCGGGT